TTTTAGAACATCAAAGCAGAGAAAAAAAGCTGAACTTCTGTCAACCTGTCCAGTAGCATTGGGCAAAATCATTAAGAAAATCCATCTGAAATGAAGTAGAACCGGGAGGAGATCTAGAGTCAGCTTTAAATCATAGTTTTGCTACTTAGAAGCTATTTGGACAAATCACCTGATCTTTCGGCCTGTTTCTCTATCAGTAAAATAGAGACAGTACAAGGACTGTTGGGAGGGCTACACAATGTATAAAAAGCACGTGGTCTCACAGAAAAGCTGAGCACTGTGGATACCTTTCTTACGGAACCCACGATATTCCACCTCTGATGACAGGTGACTGAGTGTGTACACATCTTGTCCCCCTTCTAGACTGTAAACTCTTTGGCAGCAGGACTTGAGAGGCATTATAGCATAGTGGTCAACAGCACAGATACAAACCTGAATTCAAGCTTGGGCAAATGACTGAACTTCTCTGAGCCCTGTCTTTATCCATAAAATGGAAACAGCAACACGTATTCCATGGGACTGTTGAGGGGATCACTTGAGATGACACAACTGAGGCTCTTAACACTGTCTGTGCCTGGTCCACAGTAAGTGCTCAATAAAGGATAGCGATTATTTAATTTTTCCCATTCCCGCGTCCCTTATACCTGCTAACGGCATCTAGCAATAACACCGTTGGTTTGAAGGTTTTTGTAGCTGACACATTGCCCCACCCACAGAAATTCAGAAAGAGCAAAGTATCAAGATGCCTACCTCTGGAAAATCTCTTGCAGCGTCTCCCGGGTGAAGGCGTTGCTGTCCTGGAAGACGTTATTGAGGGCATGCAGGGCACAAAGCTCCCTGCGCTGTTTCTCATGGTAGATTTGTGGGGGTGCTGCCTGGGGCAGCTCCAATGATTCAGATTTGGCCTTGTCTCCTTTCCATGGCACGCAACTCATGTTTTTCGTTTTAGGTTCCAGAGAGGCCTAAAAACACCCCGCCCTCCTCTCCTGAGAAAGAATGTAAGCTTCCCAGTCTTTTCAGGATTCCTGAGGTCCACCTTATTTTCTAGTGTCCATGATTTATGCTTTGTCACGGGAGAAAAGGTTGAAACCAAAAGGACAAAAAGAAATCCACCTCTTCTCTCTTCTCAATAGAAAAATAACTTTTGGATTAGTGTATTTCGCCACCGCTGTCAAAGTGCAGAATTTTTAAAAATCATATAAAACCTAAGACCTTGTTTACCTTCTCTCCTCCCCCAAAACGCGGTTTTCTTTGCTGTATTTTTCTCTCTGCAAATGCCAACCAGGCCTCAATGCAGGACGACTTAACGGAATCGGTCACATCGCTCCTTTTCTTCCATTTCTTTCGAACTACAACGCCACTTACTCAGGAGACAGGGCCTAGGTGGTGGATAAAACGCAGAATTCGAGCAGCTAGAGAAGGCCGGCCAGCGGGAGACGGCGGGCTGTGCGGGAGCCTCGGGGGCAGCTCTCCATCCTCTGGGCGCGGCGGGGCCCCGCAGGGCGCGGCTCCCTCGGCAGGCGCGGACTCTCGCCCTCTTGCCCCGGCCCTGCGGAGGAGACAACTGCGGTCAGCCCCAGCGGCCCGGCGGGCCGCGCGAAGGAGCAGGCTGGCCGGGAAGTAGCGCGGCGGGTCCCGCTCCCCAGACAGAGGGTCCTGGGCAGGGAGCGGCAGGCCCTCGAGAGGTGGCGGGACAACTCGCCTCGCCCTCGCGGGCCCGGGCCCACCCGGCTCGCCGCCCCCACCCCAACCTCCCCGCCCGTCACGTGAGTGCAAGCCGAGGCGCCCTCCCGTCGCTCCCCCAACCCCAGTCCCCACTCGGCCGCCCACGCCGCCCGGACTGCTCGCGGACGCGCCGCCGGCCGCCCCTCGCCGCCTCGGGCCGCCACCTGGAGCTGCGGGCCGCGCTCGGGCGGGCGGGCGACCGCGCGCACCTGAGCCCGACGTCAGCGGCCCTCGCCCAGCGCGTGCTCCGGAAACGCCCTCCTGCGCACTCCCCGCTCCCGCCCCGCCGCCGCGTCACGTCTGACGTCAGCCTGACGTCAGCGGCGCCGGCCTTGGGGCCGCGGCTGCTGCGCGGCTTTTGGGCAGGTGCGGGCAGCGTCGGGGGTTCCGGCGGGTGCACCGGCCAGCGGGGCGCCCCGTGTGGGGCTGCAGAGCCCGGCGGAGGCGGCGGCGGCGGCCGGTGGAGCTCAGCTCCCAGGCTCTGTTCCTTCCCGGGCGGGGCTAGGCTGGGCGGGGCGGCTGCGAAGAGTCCCGCCTCGACGCCCGCCCCTCCCCTTCCCCGGGCGTCGGCGCCGTTCTGGGGCGGCGACCCAGCCTGCGGCTGCACTTTGCCACTCTGCCTACCCCACCCGTGTCTCTGAGCTGGGCCTCGCGAGCGCAGTGCTTTCTAGAACCTGGGCTAGCTACTCCTGCGGTGACCGTTTTATGTTGTCCTAGCGCGCCGTTCACCAGGTGATTTCAAAGCACCTTACTGACGCTGTCGCGCGCAAATTTTCTGGGTTAGTGGGCCCGCGCGCTCCGCACTTTGCTGGAGCTCTGAGGGTAAGTGCCTCTCCTGGAGTGGCATTTCAAGTGGAATGGAGAGTCGTATTTCAGTTCCCTGGTGTCGAATTTCGGTTCACTACACACAGACCACTGTTCTCTCGCACTCCGCCTCGCCCCTGGTCTCACGGTGGCTGCCACGGAGCTTTCTGGGTTTTCTCAGCAAACCGCGCAGTGTGCGTGTCAGGAAGGTAAACTCTCAGTCCCGCGTGGATTCTTACCCCCTTTATCTACCCCTAGGGCATGTGGAAGGCATCAGCAAATATTATCCACCTTAGCTGTCCTCCTTTTGGGTTATTCTTCAGATAGTTGGAAAAACAATAAAAGAGATAACCCTTGGAATTCAGTTATTTCTTTAACCCTGCTTCAACACGGCTCTTTTAACACCATTACACTCGACACACAGTTATCACTTAACACACGTTTGAGTGACTACCATGTGGTCGGGAGTTCTGTGCCCTGATCCAGGCAACTTTTGAATTATCTTAAATATGTGTAATTTTTAAGCCACTTAATGGTTACAGTTGTATTTGCACAAGATTATTTAATGGAGGCTTGCACGCGCTAAGTGCTTTGTATATATTAACTCGTTTACTGCTAACTATCTTGTGAGGTAGATACTTAATTTTTTAAAGGAGACGACTGAAGCTCAGAGAGGTTCATTAAGTTGCTCGAGGTAAACATAGCTAACAAGTAGTGGACCCACGATTTGAACCTAGGCTCTAACCTATCTTCAGAAAGGGGATATAAAGATGGGTAGGGAATTCCCTCTCTAAAATGTGATTTTAGATTTTTCTATTCAATTCAAGAACAATATTTTTTCTGGGCAAAACCCTGTAGTGAGAAGGGCATGTTTTTTAGTGTACCGTCAGGTGTCAGCACATTCTGAACTTGAACTCTTTCTGGACGAGCCACTTGGTAAGATATTAAATAGCAGTTTTCGTTCTAGACTGCAATGCCTTGATATTTGGCTTTTCTGACAAATCAAGATTTCAATATTTGTAACTACCTCATAGAGGAATATATAGGATAGTGGTGAGCAATTTAGCCAGAGAAAAAGAAACACATTCGAAGAACTGTTAACAAGACCTTTGGATTTGGATGATTCTTGTCCCAGATTCCCAGCTGTATTTGTACACATAAAACTTGATTGTAGGTAGTTGAAAACAAGCCAAGAGGAGGTTGCCTTTTTTTCCATTCAGGTGGATCCCTCAAACTGAAGGGCATTTTGAAGACTGCCTCTTGCTCGCTAAATCCTGTGTTCCAAACCCTAAATCTTGGGTATATTACCTTCTCAAATGGCTGCTCTTTCTTGCTTGCTGCCTGGGATGAGTGGCCAAAACCAGCACTGTAAGAATTTGGCTAATCCCTAATTTCATCAAACTTTTCAGAATTGAAACAGCAATTCAAGACACTAAAAACTGTGCTGATGGTGTTTTGCATTGGCGCTTTCCACAACTGGTGACACTCTGGAAGAATCATCCATAAGAAACTATGTTATCAGACCCTAGATCTCGGCTTCACAATTCTGTTAAAGAACAAAAATCCAACCCAGTAAATTTAAAGATCTTATTGGCTTTATTCAGCGATTCATGAATAGCGAAGCATCCCATCCAGCAAATAGATAGGAGCTCCAAGGAGGTGTACAAAATGCAAGGTTTTTATAGGCGGAAAGAGGATGGGACAAAGAAGTTCAAAGAGCGGCTTTTCCGTAGGGGAGGGCAGGGGACTTATCAGGCAGATTACCTCACTACTAGTGTTGATCAGAAAATTCCAGACTGATTGCTTCCACTCCTGGGAGAAGCGGAAACTGCAATTAGGTGAGGTATTAAGTCTTGGTCAAGGGGCTTAGCCTAAGTGACTCCATTTTGGACCTGCTGTTTTTTTTTAAAGGGTTTATAAATGTGGTGAGGTGCTTTTGGCTTCTATTTTAGCAGGTTGCCTCTTTTTTTGTTTGTGTAATTGCTCTCTCCGCAGAGACAGTGAATGGAGAATTCTCCCCAAGGTCAGCGTTTAATTAATTGCCTCGCTCCGGCTGCTATAGTATCCCAGGCATCGATCCTACTATCAAAATTGCCTAGAGAGTGCCAGCGCATCGGACCTCGGTCTTCCAGTGACTGCCTGGAGTCATTGAATTGAGTGGGCGGAGCCTTGTGCAGTTTACTATCTCTGGGGGCGGTGGCCCGAGGCGCGGGACCTATTCGATGACTAGATTGGGCCTTGTCCCTGTCCATCATCGGAAAGCTCTCGGCGCCCACTGTTTTGCGGTAAGATTTGGAAGCTGAGCACCGCCTCTGGAAGCAGGAGAGTGAGGGGCGGAGAGGGTAAACGTTACGTGTGTTTCTCTCCTCATTGGGTGGCTGCTGTGTCAGTGATACTTTGCTCTGCTCCCATTGGCGGGAAGGCTCCAGGCAGGTGGCGTGGACACGGTGCTGTCCACGGTGCCCCCTCCCGAGCTGCGATCAAGGCGCGTGACGTCTCAGATGGTTGTTGTTGGGATTTGGGCCTCATTAATTATTCATTAGGTGCTTGAAAGGGCTGCAGCGATTGGTGGCTGAGAGGCCGTCGTTTGTTTCTTAGCTAGAGATACTTGTCACCCCCAACGCGTTTGGATGAATTTTGCATAGATTATTCAGTTGAGGTGCGGGGCGGGGCCACGCATATGTTAGGCAAATGAGGCAGGGAGGGCGGGGAGGCCGGCTACGAATTAGCCTAAGTTATTAAAGATGGCGGCGGAGCGGAGTCGCTCCCCGATGGACTCGCCGGTCCCGGCCTCGATGTTCGCCCCCGAGCCCAGCTCCCCGGGGGCGGCCAGGGCCGCGGCGGCTGCCGCCCGGCTACACAGCGGCTTCGACTCGGACTGCAGCGAGGACGGCGAGGCGCTCAACGGCGAGCCGGAGCTGGACCTCACCAGTAAGGTAGGCCCGGGCGCCGGCGGCGCTGAGGGGCCGGGGCGCTGAGGGGAGCGGGCGGCGGGCCGAGCCGTCTCCGGGGCGACGGCGGGCGCGGGAGGGCCCGAGCCCGCCCACCTGCCGTGGCGGGACGCGCTAGGGGCTCCCGGGCGAGGGCGTCCTCCCCCGGCGGCGCCGAGCGGCCTCCCGCCTCCCGCCGGCCGGCTCCCGCCGAGATCGCAACCCTTGGGCTCCGCCACGTGGAACAGGGGCGCCCGACGCCGGCGGCCTGCTCCCCGCGCGGGGCCGCCCCCCGAGACCGAGTGGTCCTCTCCCTGGACCGTGCCCGGCGGGCGGCTTGGGCAGGGGGAGCGGGGGCGGGAGGGTCCGGTAGTCCGAGGGGGCGGGGAGGCGGCCGCGTCCCTTCCTGGTGTCGGGAGAGGGAACAGAAAGTAGTCGCCCTGTCGGGGAGAAGGGTGTCTGAGGAATGTCTAGGGATTTACACATCCACCCAGAACAGAAGTGAGAGATGGCGTGACCCATAATCTCGCCCTCCTGGGGGTGGAAGCTCGCCTCGTATGAATGGAGTAATCAGGGACGTTTTAAACCGTGTCTTCTGAGCTCTTGAGAAGGTAGGCGGGAATTAAGGGCTCGCCGTCTGCTTGGCATTGTGGGGATAAAGAGTGAGTGTAAGATGTGACTGCTGTTTTGAAGGTGCTTAGCATTGCTGAAGGAAAGACGGACAGAGCTGGGTTGCCTTTCCTGTCATGCCGCTTAAAAAGGCTCTGTGACCTTGGAAAAGTTTCTTAACCTCTCAGTTCTCCAGCTACATCATTTTTAAAGTATAGATGCCTTGTAAAAATGAGAAATGTATGTAAGACGCTTACTGTAGTGCCTGATGTATACTACTCAGTAAATGTTTGAAGTGAATTGAATAAACTGATAATTCCCTGTGCAGATTAAATAGCAGCGGATGGAAGATAGAACAATACCACCTCCTTCCTGTTGTTGCATAGTTACAATAGAGATGTTTAACGAGCTTTGAAAATGTTTGTGACTTTTCACAGTCTGTGTTGGCAAAATTGCATAAAACTTGGCCCAAACTGGGGAGGACTTTCCCTGCAACCTAAGCAAGCACGTTTCAACCGCTCTCTCTCCAGTCTCAGCTGAGCACTTGGAAGCCAGCACTCTGGCTTATCACAGTGGTCCTGTCTGGTGCTTCTAATGCCACAATGAGGGTGGCCAAGCTTGGAGAGGGACGGTCAGGGGAAGTGTGTGAGGCAATGTGACATGCTGCAAAAGACCCAGGCAGCACCTAAGTTACAAGTACAAGCTCTGATGAGTCAACTCAGGAAATTTTATGAGATGTACTTGACTCAAAAGCAGACCAGCTGGATGTCAGTTCATGGTCAAGGTGCTGAAGAAATCTGAAAACACACGGGAAATTGCAGGGCAGAGTTGCGAAGAGAGTAGTACCTTCATTTCCTGACCAACTTCTTTAGTGTCCCAGGATAGGGAAGTGTTACTTCATCACGCAGCCGGGGAAGTCCTCCTCACTATTTCAAGTTGAGAAGCTATGTGTGTATAAACATTGTTGATGTTGAAAAGAAAAACTGACGATGCGGAGGGAGAAAAGGGATGGGTTGAACAGATTGATTCCTGAGGAAGAGATTAGAAGCTATAAGTTTATACACTTCCTACAATTAAATGTGAGGACCTAAGGCTCTGAGAGCTTCCAAAGGGGAGAAACAATTAGTGAACTGTGGTGGCCAGTTTCATCCAGGAAGGTTTTTCTAGCAATGATTGGGTGAAAAAAACTGTAATTACCACTTACTGAGCTGTGGGCTAGGTGCTTTACATGTTGTCTTATTTGGTCTTTCCAGTGGCTTTAGGATGCGGGTAGTATTATCTCCATTTCATAGATTGAAAAATCGAGACTTAGAGAGGTTAAGTTCTTTGTCCAAGGTCGCATGAGTGGTTAGAGAATGGGATCTGACGTGCCTCTTGGTAAGTGGCCTCCCCAAATAAGTGGTTGATATTTTAATGTTATTGGCAGAAATTTGCAAAATGATGGTGCTAATACCCATCTTAGTGGTAATGGTGTTTTGTTGATGAAGATAAGTCTTGCAGCAGTTTTTACTGCTGATTCCTAAATAATCAAGATAGCGAAGGCAAGATGGAACAGATTTCTTTTGTTATGATGGGAACAGTTGGCTTCGGGTGGAGGGCATGGCAGTATAGGAGATCTCTGTCCTGTGAATTGCAAGCTGCAGGTGGAAGACTCTGGCATGCAGGTGTAAAAGCACTGCTCATCAATTTCTGCCCACAATGCCAAATTCTCAATCCTTGTGGGTCCTGCCCCTCCTGTTAAGCAGCAGGAGGCAGGCTGCTCACACCCTCTTTTCTGTGGGTTGTGGTTCAGACATACTCATTTTAGTACATCGTATAAGGCTTTAGGCTCAAAGGCTATTTAAGGAGAGGCAGAGAGGGTATAAGGGGGCTGCGTAGCTATTTTAGATTAGGGTGCTCTGGGGTTCAGTCAGGATCTTTGGTCAGGCTATTGGTCTGCTTTGGCTGTGGTGCTCTTCTAGTAAGTGTGGTCCTAAGGCTGTTGGTTTCTCTTCTAGCTGGTTCTAGTGAGCCCTACATCAGAGCAGTATGACAGCCTACTTCGGCAGATGTGGGAGAGGATGGACGAGGGATGCGGAGAAACCATATATGTCATTGGGCAGGGATCAGGTGAGCATAGTTTTCCTTTCACTTTATTTTTTAAAAATTATTTAGAGCACATTTTCCCTCTTTTATCAACTTTTTCTATTCATGTGTCTCAGTTGCAGTGATTCTTTAGTGTCTGCAGAACTGTTTGGGAGGACATAAAAGGACAAAGTGATATTGTCAGTTCCCACCTCAGTGGTCATAATGTGCTTGACTTTAAGGGTTCACTTTCTAAGCGGTTTTACAGATACTTCTTTTCTACCTCCAGTACTCTCCATTTGCATAAAGGGAAAAGAAGCACAAGGCAAAGAACCTTCTTGTCCAAGGTAATAGAGCAAGTCACAGTTAGGTCTAGAATTAAACCTTCCCTGGGTAGCTCTAGGTCTTCCTCTCCAAGCCGGGTTTACAGATCCTATTGCTACTTATTGTCTATTTAGCAGAGAACCTCTGTGATTCTTCTTGATGTCAGCAAGAAAAGGACACCCAGAATTCCTCTCTTCAGCAAGGCTGCCTTGCCTCAGACTACACTGACCATTCAGTGTGAGTAGCTATGATAACAGAGGTCCTCTTTTCTCCCTGTGAGATCCCGTCAGACATGGAGGCTTGTTACCATTCTGGAAGGGACTTGTTATTGTCCTCCAACCCGCTTATTCCATTGTAATGGAGCCCACTCTTATAGAGGAAGGCAACCGCCATGACAGAATCCCAGATTATATCTTGGGCTTTTTTTTCCTGGTCGTTCCTGGTTTAGACCTTCAATACAAAGCCTACTTACCCTCTTCATTATGGCATTATCTTTGCTGAAATGGCAGCTGGGCTTGTTTACGATTGTGAGTTTAGCCCATACCAGAACCTGTCTCTGTCATCTTTGCAGGAGGCCCCGGTAGGCCTCAATACATCATTAAAGGAACAGTTCTCGTTGCTGAATGTAGGCTTTGTAAAGGCAGGTAATTCTTTTGTAGTCTGAGTTTAAGATGGAGGAAATCTCAAAATGATTCTTTAACTATTTGACAGATATCTATTAAGTATCTTCTAAGGGCTTGATACTGTTGCAAAGCACTTTTGGATACTTAAAATCTGGTTCTGTCCCCTGAAGGAAAGGTGGCATATATACAAATAACCTCAGTAGCGAGAACAGTGTTTGGAAATGCTACAAGAGTACACAAGGAAGAAGGGTTTCATCTCCAAATACTGCTGTGCCTTCCTTTGAAGTGTCTCTCGTATCTATCCTTTCCTTTCCATCTTTGCTGCTACCTCCCCGGTGTCAGGTCTTATCAACTTAAAGAAGGCATGGCCAGAGAGATAGACAAACCAAGAGGTTGCATTCAAGAAAGGGAAGGAGTTGGTCAGCATTGTCAGGTGCTACAGACACAGCAAGGAGAGTCAGGTTCAGAAAAGGCCCTTCCATTTGGTGACTAGGGGATCATTGGTAGCCTTTTGAAAGCTTTTGTGTCAGGTGCACATCTGGCCTGCCGTAATAAGATGAACTACTCAAAGATCACTTCACGCTTGTAGAGTTGAAGAAACCATATCTAGATCAGTTTTGACAAGTGTTAGGACTGTTCTTTGCAGACCCAGATTCTTAAGACTCCCTTCTCCCCCTTTATGCTTTAATGTGGACTCTTAGTGAATTTTACCATGCCTTGGCAACTCACAACTAATTAACCCTTTCATGGCAAGCATAGAAAGATATCAAACATTCATTAACACATCTGCACACCCAGGCATTATCTTTGCATCTACCTGTTGGATACTGTTAGATTCATAGTGACTTCTTCCTGCTGGAATTCTTTAGAGGTAGAACGGGATCATAACTAGTTAAGCAAGTTGAACATCAAACAGGGCTAAACCAGGTGTAAGGCCCCCAGGGATCAGCTTCATCACTAATTCCCTGTGTGTGCTTGGTGCTTCACCTCTGTTTATCGCTTCCTTCATCTGTAGAATGGGAATAATGACACCCTTCCCCATCCTACCTCAGAGAAATTTTGTATGGATAAATTAGACATGAAAAAATTCTAAGCAGTGCAGAGGAATGTGCTCTTTAAGTATACATTCTTAATTTGAGATTAATATTTTAAAAGATGGCAGTGTGGCCTTGTAGTTAGTTCAGGGTCTGGAGCTTGGCAGGTCTGAGTTTGCCTGCTGGCTCTTTTCCTTGTCTTAAAATGGGGATAGTAATAGCATCTATCCCATTGTGTCATGGTGAGGATTAACACTTGGTGTATAGTAAGCACTATATAAATGTTAGCTAGTATTAGTGGTTGCAGTAGTAATTTTTTCTTTTTTTGTGAGGAAGATCAGCCCTGAGCTAACGTCTATGCCAATCATCCTCTTTTTGCTGAGGAAGACTGGCCCTGGGCTAACATCTGTTCCCATCTTCCTCCACTTTATATGGGACGCCACCACAGCATGGCCTGACAAACGGTGCCTCGGTGCGTGCCCGGGATCCAAACCCGGGCCGCCAGCAGTGCAACGCGTGCACTTAACCGCTGCACCACGGGGCCAGCCCTACAGTAGTAATTTTTTAAGAGTTCCAGGTTATAGTTGACTTACCATGAGATTTCTGTCAAAAATCACCTTGTTCATTCCTCAAATATTAAGTCATGACTTTCTAAGAGCCAAGTACTGTATTAAAAGTTTAGGGAACATAAGGGGCATGTTAAGTCTTTGTGGGGGAGTCAAGAAAGGCTTCAAAGCCTTTCCAAAGGAGGAGGTACCCTCCTTAATTTTAAAAGATGCGTAGGAGTTTTCCAGGTAAATGGAGTCAGTAGTGAGTGAGCAGAGAAAGCCACACACACATAGGCATGGAGGCGTTGGCAATTGTGGAGTATTTGGTGGACCAGAAGGGATTCAGTAAAGTGGGAGTATAGAGTGTGAGGCTGGGAGTGTCAGGAGGGGAGGCTGGACAGGTAGGCAGGGCCCAGATCTTGAGGATCTTTGAATGCCATACCAAAGAGTTTAGACTTTTATCCTAAAAGTTTGGGGAGCCTTTGCAGCACGTTGAGCAGGAGAGTGCGTATAGGAAAGGTAAATCAGATGGCAGGGTGGAGATCTATGTGATTCGGTTCCTGCATGGCTGAATATGTGGACTTTAGTAATTGGACCTCTGTGGCTTTTCTCCTTGGTCTTTGTTTCCACTCCAACAGAATGAGGAATGCAATGCATGCTGGAGAAGGGTGATGTGATTGGGGGCATTTTCTGGAAGCCCTAGATGGACAGGGTGACAGTGGTGATTGCCCCCTGGTGTGGAACAGGACCTGAGAGCATTGCTTTTCAGTGTACCAGAAGCAGGAAAGGTTGGATAGAATTTGGAGGTCTGGCAAGAATGGCAGGGTTAACAGGCCTTCTCTCAGGAACACTTCTAACAAGCCCTTCTCTAACCCAGGAGATTTCCAGAGCTCAGTTGGCCATGCATTTAGAAAGTCCTCAGCCCAACTGCTCCCTCTTTGCTCATTTGTTTTGCATTTTACAAGCATTTGAGGACTTGATGTAGGAAAGGCACCCCTTGTGGGGCATCCAGGAAGTGTCTGAGATATGGTCCCTGTCCTCAAGATGCTTATGTATAGTGAGAGGGGATGTGCATCCAAAACACTATTCCACAAGATGTGGTGGATGGTAAATGACATAAGGGAGCAGAGTGGATAGGGTTTTGACAGGTGGAGATGCGCTGATGGGTTTTCTAGGATAGGAAATATGCAAGCAAACATATAGAGCTGGAAAAGTGCAGAGAACATGGGATGATGACTGGGCCACTTGCAGTGGGACAAAACTTAGAAGAGTAGAGGGGGTGGGGGTGTGTGGAATAAATGGAAGAGGACTTTAAGGAATTGGAACTGAATGCTGCTGGGCCTGGGGAGCCCTTCCAAGGCTTTGACTCAAAAGTGACAATGTCAGAGCTGTGCTTTGTTTACGAGCTTAAGCTTGTGTGTCTATGCAGGATGGCATGGAGGGAATAGAGACTGGATTTGCTAAGACCAGTTAGGGGTCTATTGTGGCGATTCAGGTAGAATAAGGGCCTGAATCAGGCTGGTGGCATTGGATTGGCAAAAAGAGGAGAGCAGGGATGAGGAAAGAAAGGCGAGATATAAAGCTAGATCAGCAGGACTGGAGTGATGAGTGTTAAGCTTGGGTGACTGGAAGGATGATAATGTCATCAGAAATAGGGAAGGCAAGAGGAGAAACTGGTCTGACATTAAGAGGAGCCCTTGCCAGGGGAACAAGCTCTAGGTTTAGAATCAGAAGACCCAAGCTCACATGGCGCCCCCTCTGCTCCCTACTAGCTCTGAGACCTCTCTGGGTTCTGTTATCCCATTATTAAATGGGAACAGTAATGCCTACCTTATAGGGTTGCAGTGAGGATTAAAATGCCTTATTAATGGTGTTAGTTTTTGTGCTGTTGTTTAAAAAGAGGGTGAGGTGGTTGCGTTTGGACATCGGGCTTCTAGGCGTTATCATGCGAGCAATTGGAAGTTCAGTCTAGAGCTCTGGAAAGAAGCTCTGGAAGAAGTGCTAGAAATGAATGTTTTTGTAGTTTTCAAAATGACAGTTGAAGCCATAGAATGAGATGGCTAAAGGGAATGCTTAGAGAATAGAGAAGAGGGCCACTGACTGACTACTGGAAAAGACTGGCATTTAGGGGACAGGAGCAGGGAGACCCAGCAGAGGAGACAGAGGAGGAGGAACCAGTGGGCGGGGAGGTCAGTCAGGAGAGTTCAGGCAATAGGCAAGCAAGGTGGGAGGGTGGTGATTCAAGAAGCAAAGGGAGGGTGGCCAGCAGTGTCCAGTGCTGTAGGGATCAAGAAAAGGGTGTTGGATGAATGGTTAGAAGGCCATTGATGACTTGAAAACTAGTTTCTTCCAGAGTTGTCAGATCAGAGTGAGTAGGTGGGGAGGAAATACAGTCAGCAAGTGTTGATTACTTTCGAGATGCTTGGAGGAGATGGTAGCTCAGTAGATAAGCAGGAGCAAGGGAAGAGGGGGTGGGTTTGCTTTTCGTAGTTTTGGAATGACTTGAGTTTGTTTGGAAGGGGAGAAGTGGAAGGGGGTGAGAGAAGGTGCTGCAAGGTCTTTAGAGGGGGTAAATGAGTAGAGGTTGGGCACAAGCTGGGGGGGGGAGCCTAGGGAAGGAGCAGGGGTGCTCTGGGAGATAGAGAGGCTGGAGGAAGAGCTGAGGGAGTTATTGCAGGACTTAAATCCGACACCATGTGAAGGCACCTGATGGGATTGTAGTACAGTAGATGCTCAATAAATGATTAGTTGGTTGGTCTGTCCTTCTGCTTGACTCCCTTCCTCATCCTGAGCTCAGACTTGTTTTTCCAGCTACTTGCTGGACATTTCACCTGAGCCACCTCAGTTAAAAATCTAGCCCTAAAATCATTTTTAAATTCTCTCCTGTTTTCCTCTGTCTCCTGCCTTCATTATCTCTTGCCTGCATTATTAGAATTACTTCCTAACTGGGCTCCCCCTTTCTGGTCTCTTGCTTGCCAGTGCACACTGTATGCTGCCGCCCAAGAGATCTTTCTAGCCCACAGCGATCTGATCATGTTACTTCCCTGCGTAACCCCAAGGCTTCCCACTGCCTAGTATATAACGTGTTTGTTGCTGTCTGTCTGCTTAACCACTTCCATCTCTCATGTGGTCTCCCGCCACTGGATATCCTGCTCCCCGACATGCCTAGCTGCTTACTGGTCCCTGAATGCGCCATGCTCTGCTATGTTCCATGCTTTGCTTCTCTCCTAGGATGTCTTTCCTCCTTTCTCTGCGGGCGCATTCTTCACGCTTGGAGACCCAGCCTGGAGTCAGCACCCTGCAAAGCTGTTCTCAGCCTCCTCAGGCAATGCTAGTTGCTTACACTTTATGTCTTTGTATGGTTCTATAGTATAGCACTCAAGCTGTATTGCAATTAATTAATTTCATGTCTGTCTCCCGCTGTGCTGTGAGCTCGCTAAGGGCACCTGTATTCCCAGCACCCAGCATGAGGCTTAGCATAAAACCTAGGAGAGTCTCAGTGATTACTGTTGAGTGAACTAATGAATTCCCTGCTTAATGGGGAAGCCCATGCACTATTGTTTATTAACTCTGTGTGTGCCCAAGTTTTTGAAGTGTCAGGTAAAGAGAGCCATTTTTCCCTCCAGTGCCCCAGGTGTGGCCTTGGTTAGGGTGGTTGATTGGCTGGCTTGTTGGCAGGCTGATGTCTGGGCTCTTGTCACCAGATGGGACTGAGTACGGGCTGAGTGAAGCTGACATGGAGGCCTCCTACGCCACAGTGAAGAGCATGGCGGAACAGATAGAGGCCGACGTCATCCTCCTGCGGGAACGTCAAGAAGCTGGGGGCCGTGTGCGTGATTACCTGGTCCGGAAACGAGTAGGAGACAATGACTTCCTGGAGGTCAGGTGAGGAGGCCCCAGAACAGTTCAGGGGTCCCCTGCAGCATGACCTTGGGGTCTAGGGCTTCACAGAGAGTGGTGATTAAGCCTTTGACACCTGGTATGTCTGCTTCACTCCTTCCCCCTGAGGCATAGAAATAGTGTCCAGAGACAGGATAGCTCCATTCTTTATTTCTGTACTCCCCCATCCCTAAATATTTCCATTTGGGAAGAGCCAGAGAGAGGCCAGCCGTACATTCTTTGGGCTGCATTTGCTTTCCCATCAGCCAGTGAGGCTAAAAACCAGGGTAATGGAGGAGAGCATTTTGTGCCTCCCTTGGCTTTGGGGCTGCTGTCTGGCAACTTTGGGAAAGCTAGTGGAAGTTAAGGGAGAAAGCCGTTGTGGTGGGAGCCGACTTCCTCCTGAGTAACTCTTTCTACTCCCTGGATACAGCCCCAGGAACATTTCCAATGCGCTCCTCCATGAATAGGAGGAGCAGTGAGCTGGAGGGGCTCGGGCAAGCCTGTCCTGACAGATCCAGTTACTGGGGTTAACTTCACTCACCACCAACTCTCACATGGATGTATGGGTTCATGTACACGCAGGGTAGCAGTAGTGGGCAACGTGGATGCTGGCAAAAGCACGCTTCTGGGGGTCCTGACACACGGGGAGCTGGACAACGGCCGAGGCTTTGCCCGCCAGAAACTCTTCCGCCACAAGCATGAAATTGAATCTGGTCGCACCAGCAGTGTGGGCAACGACATTCTGGGCTTTGACAGCGAAGGCAATGTGGTGAACAAGCCAGACAGCCATGGTGGCAGCCTGGAGTGGACAAAGATTTGTGAGAAATCCACTAAGGTGATTACTTTCATCGACTTGGCTGGCCATGAGAAATACCTGAAGACCACTGTCTTTGGCATGACGGGCCATTTGCCTGACTTCTGCATGCTCATGGTGAGTGTGAGGTGCTCCTGAGGAGGGGAGGCTTCAGCTGGGCTGTTGGGAGTGTGGGGATGTGCAAGTGTTTGAAATTGTTCTGAGACACAGGCCTCTTGGTTTGGGGCTTTGACATTGGTTAAGGATGACAAGTTTTACAGGGGTGCCCAGTCCTCTGAGCTTTACATTTACAGTCTTCTCAAGGGGTGTAGTTTGATCTCTCTCCTAGGTTAGGCCAGGAAGAGATCCTCTAAGTAAAAGCCGACGTGCTATTTGCAGACCTTGCTTAGTGTTCAGAGAAGCGTAGAGGAGGGTTTCTCCTGCGGCTTACTTGTTACCTTCAGAAATGTTTTCTTCTGGGCGTGGGCTACTTTGAGGAGAACACCAGGCGGCACCCTCAGAGATGGGGAGTCTTGGGGAAGAAGTGGAGGAGAGCACAGACAGTAATCAAGAGGGGTCTAAGAGGCGGCCTCTTTTGAAGCCTGGAACGAGTGTCAGCCAGTCCACAGGTACTCGTTGAGAGGCTTCTGTGTGCCTGGCACTGTGAGGATACGGCAGTGAACAGGGCCGTCCTGGGCTCCCATCGAGCTTACAGTCAGATTTTTAAGCGGCTCCTCATGTAGGTGAACTGGAAAGGAAGGGGAGTAGAGGCTTCTGTGTCAGATCATGTTGCTAAGCTTGCATTTGGATCCCTTTGGTCTTCCTCCCTGGCCAGAGAGTGGGAGTCCTAGAGGTCCTCAGCCTTGGTCACAACTTCATAGCTTTCACAGAGAGAGAGCGAGCGAGCGAGTGAGCAAGTTTTCCTTTGGCAAGTCTTTCTCAAAGCCCTTCCCCATTTCCCAGTCCCTCCAGCTGCCTGTGTTAATAAGTGTAGTAAACACAAGCATCTGTTCAGAGAAAACTTGATCAAGTTACCCCACAGATGCAGGTTCTCAGGCAAAGTCTCCCCAAACTGGAGAGTAAAGAGAGGCAGAACGTATGTATGAACGCTCTTGTCGGCTCTCTGCTCAAGGTTCATGGGATCTCAGTGTAATTTCATCTCCCATATCTTTGAGCATTTCAAAGGGCCGTTACTGACCTTCTTGACTGGGCTAAGGAAAGCTGCTCTGGGTTTCAGTGGAAGATACATAGGGCGTGTTTGGGGGAGTTGTTGGGTTGATATTAAGAAGGATATAGAAACCATTTTAAAATGAGCATTTTTCTAACTGAGCTGCAATGAGCCAGGCCAGTTAATGGAAATATCTTCACCCCAGATGAAGTGTTATATATTATATCTGACTTTTAGGCCATGATGCAAATATTAAAAATTTCTGTAGAAAACAGTGAAATATTCATTATTGATCCATGGTAATCGATTTCTAGGGAAAAAAAATCTTTAAAATGTATAGATGACAAAGTGATAGAGCTCTGTGTCATCCAGCTTGGGAAAAGCAAAAGCAAACCAAAGTTGGGTAGAAAAGGTGGTTGGAGGGAAGGGGAGGAGTTAGGAGGGAGGGAGTGGAGGTATCTCGGTGCAGGCAAAAGGGAACACAGGCCTGGGACGTCTGTGTCAGTGGGGTGGTGGCTCATCTGTGAACTGTGAGGATCAAATGAGAACATCCCTTGAAAACACTCTGGAGTGTATAAAGCACTATATAAATATGTCATGGAAATTTTAATTTTATTTTGTTTTAATAACACATTGATATGGTATAAAAATAAAAAGGTACCAAAGGGCTCATAGTGAAAAGTCTGCCTGCCTCCTTCATCCAGTTTCCTCCCAGAGGCAACCAGTATTTTCAGTTTCTTATGGATCCTCCAGAGATATTTCGTAATCATACCAGCACAAGTGTATGTATTCTCTGCCTCCAATTTCCAACGTTCGGAGAAGTTGAGAGAACAGTACAATGAATACCATAAATCCACTGCTCAGAGATCAGCAGTCGTTAACATTTTGCCATTTTCATCTGTACGTGTGACAGATGCTTATGTGTGTCTTTTTTTTTTTTTGGTTTTTTGGCTGAATCATTTGAAGTAGGTTATAGACATGGTGACTCTTCATCCCCAAATATTGCAGCACACAGTTCCTAAAAGTAAGAACTGTCTCTTACTGTTATTGCAACCAAGAAGATGAACATGAGTTCTTTAATATCATCCAATGTCTTCTTTTTGTTTGTTTGTTTTTGTGAGGAAGATCAGCCCTGAGCTAACATCCGATGCCAATCCTCCTCTTTTTTGCTGAGGAAGACTGGCCCTGGGCTAACGTCTGTGCCCATCCTCCTCTACTTTATATGGGATGCCGCCACAGCGTGGCTTGATAAACGGTGCATCAGTGCGCGACAAGGATCCGGGCCGCCACAGCGGAGTGTGCGCACTTAACCGCTACGCCACCGGGCTGGCCCCCATTCAATATCTAGTCTATAAGTGTTTATATTATCTCAGATGTTCCCCGTATGTCTTACAGTTGCTTTTTTTCAAACAATGATCCAATCACCACTCTTTTTATGGTAGTATGCTGTATATACCTTGCTTTTTTTCCCTTAAAAACATATCTTAGAGATTATCCTATATCGGTAGGTAAGAGTCCTCTTTCTTTTATATGGCATACTTGTGCATGTGTCCTAATTTATTTAACCACACTTTATGGTGATATTTAGAAACATTTACAGTCGTGTGCCACATAATGACGTTTCAGTCAACTACAGACCACATATATGATGGTGGTCCTATTAGATTATAATGGAGCTGAAAAATTCCTATCACCTAGTGACGTTGTAGCCATCGTAAAGTCATAGTGCAACACATTACTCACGTGTTTGTGGTGATGCTGGTGTAAAAAAACCTCCTCTGCTGCCAGTCATATAAAAGTATAGCACACGCAATCACGTACAGTACATAATACTTGGTAATGATGATACATGACTATGTTACTGGTTTATCTATTTACTATACTATACTTTTTATTGTTATTTTAAGTGTTTCTTTCTACTTATAAAAAAAAAGTTTACTGTGAAACAGTATGCCGTGTTATACCGGCAGCAGCCTCATATATCTCATTTACTCTTGACTGCATCATTTTCTCTTGTGCTTTATTTAGTCTCACGTTGTTTTGTTCATCATGGCCCCTAAGCATACAAAATCCACTGCTAATGTTGCCACTAAGAGGCCATGTCGAGTGATTGACCTGGAAACAAAATTAAAAGTGATTAAAGAATACGAAGGTGGAAAATTAGTGATGTTTATTGCACGCCAATCAGACATGTCCCCTGCCACCATAGCTGTGATCTTGAAGAACAAGAACAAAGTGACAGGCTGTTAAAGGATCTGCTTCGTTGAAGGCGAGACTAAACAAAATTTGAGAAAGGCCTATATCAGACATGGAGAAACTTCTAATGACCTGAATTGAAGAACAGACACATAAGCATGTTCCTCTCAGCACCATGATGATCATAGCCAAAGCAAAAAGTTTGTTTGCAATGTTGAAAAAAAAGGGTGGACCTGATTACAGTGTTGAATTTATGTTAGCTCTGGGTGGTTTAAACAACTCAAGAATCATTATTTATTACATAATGTGTAAGTGAGGAGTGGGTCTTTGAGTGCTGATTTGAAGGCAGCTGAGGAATTTTTGGGAACTCTAGATAAGCTGATTGTGGAGGAAGATTACTTGCTAGAGCAAATATTCAGTATGGTTGAAACCTTCCTATTCTGGAAATGGATGCCTGAAAGGACTTTCATCCATAAGGAGCCAAGTCAGTGCCAGGTTTCAAGCCTTTTAAGGACAAGATAACAGTCTTGCTTGGGGGCAATGTTGCAGGCTACAAATTGAAACCCTTTGTGATCTGGCACAGTGAGAACCCCAGGGCGTTCAAGCATATCAGTAAGCACACACTGCCAGTGTACTACGGAGCAATAAGAAGTCATGGATGATCCATCTCCTCTTCCAAGATGCCCTCCTGAATTGCTATCTCAGTGAAATGGAGAAGTACTGTTTGGAGAATAACATACCTTTCAAGATTTTGCTTATTGTTGATAATGCTCCCGGACATCCTCCTTTTATTGGTGATCTTCATCCCAATATCAAAGTGGTGTTTCTGCCTCCAAACATCACCTCTTTGATGCAACCAATGGATTAAGGAGTGGTAGAAGCTTTTAAGGCCTACTAGCTGAGGAGGACCTTTGCCCAGGCTATTGCTGCAACTGAGGAAGACACTGATGCAATTCTGGAAGGATTACAACATCTATGACTACATCAGGAACCTTGCTTGGGCTTGGTGTCACCAGGGAGATGAATGGCATCTGGAAGAAGACACTCAAGACTTCTTCATCCATGACTTCACAGGATTTGCAAAGGATGAGGAGGTTGCAAAAATCAGCAAGACTGAGATTAAGATGGCAAACAACTTTAACCTGGGTGTAGATGAGGATGACATTGAGGAGCTCCTAGAGGTGGTTCCTGAGGAACTGACTACTGAGGACTTGTTGGAACTGGAACAGGAATGCGTAGCTGAAGAAGAGGCAAGAGAAAAGGAAACTGCAGGAGAAAAAGAAGAACTCTTAAGAAAATTCAGTGAAAGGTTTAGCAGAAGCTTTTGCAGACCTCAACAAGCTCCTTAAAAAGTTTGAAAATATGGACCCCAACACCGAAAGGTTTTCATTAATAGAGAAGAATGTTCATGATGCATTGTCTGCTTACAAGCAAATCTGTGATGAGAAAAAGAAACAAACCAAGGAAACCACCGTGGACATATTTCTGAAAAGAGTAACACCTCCTCAAGAAGAGCCTCAGGCAGGTCCTTCAAGAGGTATTCCATAAGAAGGCATTGCTATCACAGGAGATGACAGCTCCATGCATGTTACTGCCCCTGAAGCTTCCAGGAGGACAAGTGTAGGGGGAAGACAGGGATGTTGATTATCCTGACCCTGTGTGGCCTAGGCTAATGTGTGTGTTTGTGTCTTATTTTTTAACAAAAAAGTTTAAAAAGTAAAAAATTTTAAAAATAGAAAAAAGCTGATAGAATGATATAAAGAAAATATTTTTGTATAGCTGTACAATGTGTTTGTGTTTTAAGCTGTGTTATTACAAAAGAGTCAAAAAGTTAAAAAGTTTATAAAGTAAAAAAGTTACAGTAAGCTAAGGTTAATTTATTATTGAAGAAAGGAAAATTAGAAAAAAAAATTAGTGTAGCCTAAGTGTACAGTGTTTATAATGTCCTAGGCCTTCACATTCACTCACCACTCACTCACTGACTCACCCAGAGCAACTTCTAGTCCTGCAAGCTCCATTCGTGGTAAGTGCCCTATACAGGTCTACCATTTTTTATCTTTTATACTGTATTTTGACTGTACCTTTTCTGTGTTTAGATACACAAATACTTATCATTGTGTTATGATTGCCTACAGTATTCAGTACAGCAACATGCTATACAGGTTTGTAGCCTAGAAGCAATAGGCTATACTATAGAGCCTAGGTGTGTAGTGGGCTATACCATCTAGGTTTGTGTCAGTACACTCTGTGATGTTCACACAGCAACGAAATCGCCTAATGACACATTTCTCAGAACTTATCCCCGTGGTTAAGTGATGTATGACTGTATTGCTATGGGAAGGAATAGTAACAGTAATAGTAGCTGCCATTGCTTACCCACGTAGTTGAATCAGAGGGTAAAGCAGCCTGTGCCTAGCCCAGCTTTCGTCTCAGCCATTTTGTTCCTGGCCTGAGACTTGTGCCTCCAGTGTCCTATTCTGATGGGGGCCTCAGAGAGGGGAGCTCTCTTTTGCCCTAGCCTTCTGTGAGCCCCTATACCTACCCAGCAGCAACCGCTGTCTCTCTTGTGCTGACGGTTCTTTCTGTGTTGGGGCAGGTGGGCAGCAATGCTGGCATTGTGGGGATGACCAAGGAGCACCTGGGCTTGGCGTTGGCACTCAATGTGCCTGTCTTTGTGGTAGTTACCAAGATTGACATGTGTCCTGCCAACATCCTGCAAGGTAAGTAAAGCCTCTAGCTAGCAGCAGTCTCTCTGTTTGGGACTGTCACACACTATGGCTCCTTGGTGGTTTACTGCCAGGGCTTCAGCCCCGAATCTTCTGCTTCCTTGTCTGTGCTCAGACCTTGGCCTGAATTTCCATCAACCCAGAATCTTCTGTTTCCTCCCCTCTTTAGCTCTTGGTCTGAGTATAGCCTATAATTAGCTGCTCTTTGTTCCTTCTGGTTCCAAATCCTTGAGATCCCTAATTTGGCACCTCTTTTCAGATGGCCTCGGGCAGAAGGGGTTGGGTTTTACCATCTAAGCTGGATATGTATGAAAACATTTGGGCAGAGGGTCTGATTACCTTTGACCACCAAAGGCTTCAAAACAGGGTTACAGGATTAGGCCTTCGTGCATTTCTCCCTCACGGCTACAGATGTAGAAGACAAGTGGAGAGGTGTCCTTTTGGAGGGCCTCATAAGGGCTTCTGCAGGTGTCTAAATGTCCTAGAGATCCTATTGTCAGATGAATTTTTTTCCAGGAAGCAGATCACTCTGGTGAGAACATTGTCCTTCTCGTGGACCCCCAAGTCACTAACTTACAGGATGTGGGTCTTCTAGAGACTCTGGAGAAATCCGACGGGTTTCAGACTCAGAACCCTAGCAGACAGGCCCCATCTGTGCTCTCTTTCTACTCTAGCAAGCACATACACCGCAAGTTTTGGTCCTCCTTTTTACTTTTCCAGGCATTGTGGCATTTAACACTGGTCCATCTATCTGTCTCCTGCTTGCGTCAGTAATGAGTGGACCTATCTTGTCCTGGAAACCTGCTCAAAGAGAAGGCCGTGTCCCCCTAATTCTGTTCCATTTCACCCTTTAAGAAACCCTGAAGCTGTTACAGCGCCTGCTGAAGTCACCAGGCTGCCGGAAGATCCCTGTGCTGGTGCAGAGCAAGGACGATGTGATTGTTACGGCCTCCAACTTCAGTTCTGAGAGGTAATGGGGTAGTGAGCATTCACTTCTGGGCAGGTACAGCGATTGGATGAAATAGAAGATTCTCGTCTCAGCTCAGGGTCTCCCAGGTGGCAGTATTGCCCAGGGGCTATATCAGGTGACCCAGATTCTGAGGTGCTAGCCTCGCTGAGGTTGGAATCCCAGCTGAGACTTCAATGTCCTTATCTGTGAAATGGGAATAATATTACCTTCCCCATAGGGCTCTCGTAAGTGTTGGAAATGATATATGGAAAGCACTTACCACTGTGCCTGGCTGCTGTGTGATTGAGACACAGCCATTTTTATAACTGCTATTATTAATTGTTTTATACTCTTGTTTCTCAAAAGCTCTAATCACAGATCAGTTTTGGCATTTACTCATTAGGTAACCTTTGATTCCATATTTATTGGGTGTTTGGTCTGCACCAGGCTCTTCATCTAGGCATTGAGGATTCAGTTGACTTGGGCATGGTCCTTGTCCTCAAGGTGGTCAGCTCCTTGGTCAGAGTTACTCTCTTGATAATAGTGAACTTCATTAGATCCGTTCCTTCTCCCAGAGTCTTGGGGCTGCTTAGGAGCCATCTGCCTCCTGGCTTGATCTATAGTACAGGACCCAGAGCAGCCTGGCATTTTGGCGTGTGGCTCTGCCCTGATGCTGTCTTCAGTACCACCATTTGGCTGGCAGAGGGGGTACATTTCAGCTGGCCGCACTTCAATTCGTTCATTTTGTCCAATGTCTGTTCTTTGCAGGTGCTATTCTAGGAGCTATGGGGAATATATAATTTCTGATCTCAAGGAGTTTGACTAACCGTGGATAGGAGATATAGAGGCTATGGAGATAACTCTGATGGAAAATCAGACATAGTCATGTGTAACAGAGACACAAAAAGTTCTTCTAGAACTCAGAGGAGTGGAGAGTGCCCATCCGGGAAAGAAGCAGCATTGGAGATGGGCTCTGAAGGATGAGAGGATTTGGTAGTTGGACAAGAGGGAAGGAATTCAGGCAGCAGGATCAGAGTGAACAAATATATATGAGGGCACAAAAGTACCAAGCTTTTAGGAGAAGGGAAGGTTCTCTGGTCTGGCGGGAATATGGGACTTTGAGAGAAATAAACCTGCAGAGATGTTGGGAGGAGGGATTCAGACTGTCTTCTCTGCAACGGAAAGATGGTTAAGGATTTTAAGCAAGCACATGTGTGCGTTAGGAAGAAGAGGCAATCATGAGCTCCTGAAGTAGAGCAGTGGTGGAGGGACAGAGAGGAGGGGACTGATTTCAAAGACAAAACTGAGTAAGAGAAGGCGGCCTTGGAGCAGGTTTGGCTGGGAGTTGCTAGGTTGGGGCAGAGGGATAGAGCCGGGGACGGGACAGTGGGGCCCTTAGAGAAGCAGCTGTTCCAGGAGCCCTCCTGCTGCTCCCACCCTGGGTCAGGCAGGGGCTGGCCACCTGAGCTCCTTTTTTCCTTTGTCTTCACTCTCCACTTAGGATGTGCCCAATATTCCAGATCTCCAACGTTACAGGCGAGAATCTAGATCTGCTGAAGATGTTCCTCAATCTCCTCTCTCCCCGCACCAGCTACCGGGAGGAAGAGCCTGCTGAGTTTCAGATTGATGACACCTACTCTGTCCCGGTGAGTGGCTTCTGGTGGACTGAGCAGGGCATGAGGCTGGGTGGGCACTTCCTACAGGGGTGTTGGGGCAAGTTGGTGGTGGGGAGGGCCCGAGTGAGGATGGACTTACTGGGTCAGGGTCTTCTCTGCAGGGTGTGGGAACAGTAGTGTCGGGGACAACACTGAGGGGCCTGATCAAGCTGAATGACACACTGCTGCTGGGCCCAGATCCCCTGGGTAACTTCCTGTCCATTGCTGTAAAATCGATCCATCGCAAGCGAATGCCTGTCAAGGAGGTGCGGGGGGGGCAGACGGCCTCCTTTGCACTGAAGAAGGTGAGTATTGATAATACCAAAAACTCTCCTCAGACTCTGCATTTTGCTAGGCTCCGGGCCATCTCCAGTCCTCATGGCTGCTTTGCAAGGCAGGGATTACTGATCTCACTTTACAGATGAGGAAACTGAGGCTCAGAGAGCCCAAGTAACTTGCCCAGGAGCACACAGCTAATAAGTACTAGAGCCAGGAGTTGAACCCAGGCCTGCTGCCTCCTAAGCTCTGTCCCTCCCCATAGTGCCAGAACAGAGTGCTGAGTTCAGTGGTGAGGTCAGATAGGTGCCTCCCTACTGTGCTGAGGGTCCTTCTGCGTAGGGCCACTGGAGTCATGCCAAATCCTCTTCCTGTCTGGCCTTCTACCCCTGGGGATTGGGGTGAGTGCTAGCTCTGTGGTCACTTAACCTTCCCTGCCAACAAAATTAACCAGCAAAACGGAACTTTGTTTATTCCCGCCAACAGTCATGTTCTGCTTGCCCTGTTCTTTCTACCTGAATGCTTGCCTGCCGTTGTCCTCTCACCACCCGCTGAATTCTTCCCTATCCTTCAAGGAAGGTGCAGTGAATTGCCACTTCCTGCATGCAGTGCTTGCTGACCCCCACCACACTGCCCAGGTTTCCCACAGAGCAGTACAGTCTGCATTGTACTGTCCACCCCACCACCCTACGGTCCAGTGCAGTGACGGCAAAGCCGAGTTGGGGTAGTCCCCATTCCCAGAAGGGCTGCTGGTCCTCCAGGACCAGGGGTCAGCCAAAAGGCATTAATGACCTTGAGGTCTGGGATTCCCTCCTTCTTTCAGATCAAGCGCTCGTCCATCCGGAAGGGCATGGTGATGGTTTCCCCACGCTTGAATCCCCAAGCATCCTGGGAGTTTGAGGCCGAGATCCTTGTCCTCCACCACCCCACCACGATTAGCCCACGCTACCAGGCCATGGGTAAGTGTCTAAGGGCGCTGCCAGCCCAGGAGGTCCCCTGCTGTAGCTCCCCCTAGAAGGTGCGCTAGCAACCCAAACCCCAACGTTTCAGCTCCAGCCAAGAGGCAGGTCTCTATCCTGTGTACATGTCATCCCCTCTGTTCCACCCACGCGCTGCGGCATTTATTCAGTCCTGCAGTCACTCACCGAGTGCTAGCTCTGTGTGGGGCTCTGGAGACCCAGACCTGCCCTCAAGGACCTCACATTCAGTCCCTCAGCAAACGTCTGCTGAGTGCTGCCGTGCCAGGCAGTGTTGCCAAGGGGCTGGGGACAAAGAAGAGATGGGCAAGGGCCCTGTCGTCTAGAAGCCAACAGTCCAGAGAAGGCACACATGCAAACAGAGTGCCCTGTACTCAGGAATATGAGTCCAGGGGCAGGTGGGGTCTAACTGGAGGAAAGGGTGGGAGAGCGCGAGGCAGGATCAGATCCAAGTGCAGGCCCCCGGCTCGCTCGGCCACGCTCAGGCTCCCTGAGGTCTGTGGCCTGCCGCAGCTCAAGCATATTTCATGCTTTCCTTCACTGCCTTCCCTGACCTGAGCGCACTGGGCAGCTCAAGCCTGTCCTGACCTCCCGGTCCCTTGGCAGTGCACTGTGGCAGCATCAGGCAGACAGCCACCATTCTGAGCATGGACAAGGACTGTCTGCGCACTGGGGACAAGGCCACCGTGCACTTCCGCTTCATCAAGACCCCCGAGTACCTGCACATAGACCAGCGGCTGGTGTTCCGGGAAGGCCGCACCAAGGCTGTGGGCACCATCACCAAGGTATGGCCAGGCAGACCTCCTCACCTGCCCCAGGAAACACCAGGGGCCACTCCAGTTCTAAACCATGAGCACAACAGGCTCTTCTTGAGAAGTCCTATGGAATCTCCCTAACTGCCAGGGGAAGAGGCACCAGTCCCTGCCTTGGGAGCATTGGAATAGCACATCCCTCCTGGTGGAACAGCATGTCTCTCCTGAGTGGCTCTTAAAATTTGGTATAGCCACACTCCAAATATTTCTAGCTGCTGAGATATTCACTTGGGCTCTTTGGGAGGACTGAAGTTAATACTTGCTCCAGACTCTTGTTATGGGGGAGGAGGACCCCGGGGCTGGAGATGCAGTTGATGCTCTTAGGACTTTCAGCCAGCTTAGCAGGGAAGAGAGCCTCGAGTTCAGCTCACCAGGCTCTGGCAAACTAGATCCAGGCCTGGGAGCTGGGCTGAGTGGGAGATGGCCGAGGTACGCAGATGGTCTGTGGGAAGAACAACCGGAGCAGGGAACAGGGTGGAGTCCTTCTGAGCTAGGCTGAGGCAGGTGCGACGTCAGCCTGGGCCGTGGCGGTCCTGGGATGCTGAGTGGAGATGAGAACATCTCTTCATCCACTGCCCCTGTTATGGCCCTCCTGCCATCCGCCTTGCCCAGGAGCAGCCCGGGGGGGGAGTGAGAAGTTCCTGAGAGAGGGTGGCGGTGGGGGAGTGGGCAGCTGAGCTGATGTCACTGCCTGCAGCTCAGGCCTCAACCTCACCCCCTTGGCTCCTGCAGCTCCTCCAGACCACCAACAACTCCCCAATGAACTCCAAGCCCCAGCAGATTAAAATGCAGTCAACGAAAAAGGGCCCCCTGACCAAACGAGAGGATGGAGGCTCATCTGGAGGGCCGGCACTAGGGGCGCCCCAACTTGGAGATGAAGCTAGCTCTCTAGGAGCTGCACAGCCAGCTGCGTCCAGCAGTCTCCAGCCACAGGTGAGCGTGCATCCCAGGCTGGTCCTGGGCCCCTGGCTGAGGGGGGGCATGGTGGCTATTACTCTAGTTGGTAGAGGTGACAAGTAGGAGAGTCTCAGGCATCCTTCGCTCACTGCTTCGTCTGTTCATAGATAGAAGGTGTTTCCCACAACTCCTCGCACATAAGTGCTATCTAAGTGTGAGCTGTTTGTCTCTTAAGACAGTGTTTTTCAAACTTTGAGATGTGGCCTACATAAAATCAACTTAATTGGTCCTGATTAGCATTTCCTTTCAATCAAATAGAATAGAAAAATGTCAGTTTCCCTTTCATAGTCAGAGTAGTATTGTGTGTATGTGAGTGTGAGTGATGTGTGTGTGTGCTGCTGTCCAAAAGGTTTGAGAGACACTGCCTTAGAGGGTCCTCCTGTGCCTCCTCCCCAACATGACACCTCTGGAGGGGTAGGTGGCCTTGGGCCCTGTGTCTTTGTGGCTCTCACTCAGCATCTCCTACCAGCTCTGTCCCCTGGCTGTCTCCCAGCGCCCCCTCACATTGCTCCTTCCAGAGTCTTCTCTCTCTGCCTCCTCTTCTCTCTTTCCCGCACTGAGCCTTTCCTCTGGCTCCTTCATTCCCTTTCTCTTTCCACCTATCAGCAGTGGCAGATGTTGGTTCCTTCTCTCTTTGTGCTTCTCTGAACAGCTTCCTCTCACACGATTATCACATGTGACCCATCCACTCAGGAGGAAGGCAGGGTGGGCCCGTTCCATCTCACAGAGGAGAAGTGCCAGGCTCTGGGTCACATCAGAGATGACCACTCAGGCTAGACTGGGACCAACTGGCTCGTTTCCTGCCCCTTCTTCCCGCTGTCCTGGCCCCTCTACTGTCCTGTCCTGTTCCCAGTAGACCACTGCTTCTCAAACTTCTTTTTCTCTTACAGCCCAAGCCCAGCAGCGGGGGCCGGCGACGGGGGGGCCAGCGTCACAAGGTGAAGTCCCAGGGGGCCTGCGTGACTCCTGCCAGTGGCTGCTGAATCTCCCCCTGGCCCACCCCCACCACCCAAAGGATCCTCGTACTCTGGCCACTGCTCCACCAGATGGGCCAGAGCAGCTCTGACCACCACCCACCCTCCCCCAGGCCACAGCCGGAGCCTCATCATTCCCCCTACCCCCGTTTTCCAGGGGGGTTGTAATTTATAAGCTGAGGAAGGTGGCCAGACTTCCGGAGGACTGGCCATCTCCCACCCTCTTCCCTGTCTTCTTCCTCACTCACATTTTTTGTACATCTGGGCCCTTAGTTTTTATTCTTTTTATTATATATCTCTCTATCGTGTGTGGGTGTGTATGTGTGGCTGTGTGTGTGGTGCAGGAGTGCAGCCGGTCAGGGCCCTGGCAGTCTCTCCTTGTCTCTTCCATGGCTGCCCACCAGCCTCCAGCAACTGGCCGCCCGCCTGTTCGTCCGTGTGTCTCTGTGGGAACCTTTAGGGGCTGTCAGGAGCTGAGGAGCACCCTCCTTCCCTGGCTTACTCTCCTCTGCGCCTAGAACCCCTCCATGGAGCCTGCCTAGGGGGCTTCTAGGTGTAAGTGTCTACTGCTGCCAGAGCAGGGAGCCCTCCTTCCGTGACGTGGGATTTTAACAGGGTGGAGAGTGGTGGCTTCCCCCTTTCTCTCTCTCCCTCTTTTTCTCCTTAAACCCCAGAACAGATAATGCCAAAAGCTCTTGAGTTGTAATCTGTAGATGTGTGGAGGGGAGAGGCAACTGGTCTGTAGGACCCTCTGTGCCCCTAACTCTGACCCTTGCCACTGACTGACCCAAAGACAGCTGGTGGCTTTGCTTTCCCTTGGAGACAATCCTGTGTTTGCCTGGCTGGCTGGGGCGACTCCTGCTCTGCCGATCTGCCACGCTGGAGGCCCTTGCCTCACCGAGAAGCCACCTCCTGCTTGGACTTGGACTCTGAATCTTGCTGGGCCTTGGGGCACTGATGGCCTAGGCTGGGCTCAGCCTGCTTGGGGTCATGCTCACTAGCACCCCCTGTTGGTGGGGCTATGGGGTGTTCCTCTGAGTCAGGCTGGGACTGGAACCCCTCCTTCCCCACCACACCCCTGCCACGTCACCCCAGTATGGCTGCTACAGGAGCACAACAGTGAAGGGCCTGAGCCCCAGGTTTGGAAACCCTGATTGGGGTGCAGGGAGGGCAGGCAGGGATAGTGAAAAAGACTCTTCCAGGCCCAGCACAGAGCATTAAGCCCTCTGGAAAAATCACTGCCTGGGTGGGGGTGGGATTGCCCAGGACAGAGATGGCAACGGGGGCCCCGAACCAGCCTGGTCTGAGCTGGGGACTGAAGTCCCCAGGTTAGGGTGGACTGATGGGCGGAGATGTGTTCTTTCTCTAGCTGGGCAGACACCCAGCCTGCTGGGTCCCTCCTTAGCCTTCCCTCCCTCCTGTCCCCAACCCTTCTCTGTTCTTCCTCCTTCCAGGCTGCTGATTCCCTCTCCAACCCTCCTTCCAATTATTCCTAGTTACCACTGACCTGTGGCCATGGACTGACCAGACCAGCGCACAAAATAAAAGTTTGTTTGAAGTTGACAATGTTGTGTTCCCTGCCCAGCCCCTCCCGGTGGAGGCGCTGCCACCGGGAACGCTCGCTCTGCCTGCTAGAGCCCCCGGCTGCGGAGCAGGGCAGGGCCAGGAGGAGCCCAGCTCTGTCAGTTAGGCGTGGCTTCAAAACGCAGGCTCCTCCACCAGTGGTGACACGGGACGACTTGCCAACCTTCTCTGAACCTCAGTTTCCTCATCTACAGCAAGAGGTAGATGCCTCTGTCAGGGTTGTTGTGAGGATTCACTGAGAGTATGTGAGGCCGTGACAAGATGCCCAGCACGTGGGAAGTGCCCAGTGAATGGTCACCGTGCTGCTTACCGCTCACACTGGTTCCCAAGTCCATAGCAGAGGCCACAGGCTGGGGGACAGGCTGGAAAGGAGAAACGTGGCATTGACACATCTGCCCTGTGGTGGGGCTGTGCCAGGTGTCTCACTCACTTCATGTACTATGACATTCGCAGCCACCTTCTCGCAGGGAGGTGGTGGTAGAAGCTCAGAGGAGCAGTGCCACCAGCAGGCGTGTCCGTTCCTACACCAGCCCTCGCCCCTAGCCGGTCCCCGTCAGTCACTCTGGCATGTCCTTCGGCTTTTTGACTCTGGTTCTGCTTACAGGGGCTCCAGCGTTGAGCACTCCTCTTCTGTCTGTCCCCATGGCAGGTGCTGTGGAATTTGTGTTTCCACAGGACTTGGCCATGGCGGAACCTCAGAGCAGGCAGAACCCCATTTTGCTTGAGCTCTTTTGCCCTGTGAGCATAACCACTTTCTTTATATTAGGAAGCTGTGGCCTCTGCCCTCCTCTGGCCCGACGCTCAGGACGTAGGTCTGGATCTCTGTGGTCACTAGGCCCACACCTGCCAGCAGGGGGGGTGACTGAATACAGCATTTTACTGTTGTTAGCAGGGACAACAAAGGTCCCCTATGGGTCTCAGCTCTACCAACTATCCATTTGGAATAAAACACCAGCCCTTTTGTAGTTGATAAAGAATAAAGTTGTTAATCTGATCATTTCAAATGGCAAATCCTGACCCTTCTGTACATGCAGCTGGCGTTTGTGCTGTCTTGAGTTCAGTGAGGACCACTGTGCTGGCTTATTGGCCTCCCTGGCACAGAAGAAGGTATAGGAATGTGCCTAGGTGCAGGGGAGGCACAGCTTTGACTGGGGACATGGGATGTACCATAGAGAAGACGGTGTGAGGGTTGAGGGGCCAATAGGATTAGAATGTGTGCAGACGGGCAGAGGGCACATGCCTGGCCTGGAGGGCACGAGCAGAGGCACTGTGCCCTGACAGTGTGTGACAAGTTCCAGGGACTCGTTTATTGGTGTTTGGGGATGTCTCCTTTGTTGAAAAATGGTGCTAGATACAGCGCAGGTGTTGAGTGAAATAGGGGGAGATGAAGTGAGCGGTTGCTGGGGGGCAAGCCGTAGGACTCGCTGGACATAGAGCTGAGGGGTTGAGGAACTGTTCCAAAGCCTCGGGCTGGATTTGGACTCCACCCACCACCCTCTCCTGTGGCAGCTCATCCTCAAACCCCTCCTCCCGACCTATTCTTGCCTAGATTTTCTCAGCTGTGAGGGGGCCCAGCCAGGTGGGCCAGGTGCCAGTCAGGACCTGCCCCTGGCTCTTCAAGCAGCTCATTGGAGGCGCTGAATCCGGGGGGTGGGGGTGGGGGGGGGGGGGATTTGTGGGGAAGGGCCAGGACCTGCTCCCCTGAGCTGGCAGATTCTGGCTCCTCAGGGAACCCACCTCCCTGTCCCATCCCAGCACAGGTACAAGGGGCAAATGTCTAACTCCCACAGAGGAGGACCACCACACTGAAGGCCAATGTGGTCAGTAGTGAAATGGGTGACTTTTCCTACCTTCTGCTCAAACGGCTGCCTCCTGCTTCATAATGTGATATCAGTGATGGCTAATAAAGCCACCTCACGTATTTCTCCTGCCAACCCTTGAGCCCAGAATCATTGGAGCAGGGCCTGCCTCAGGCCCCATCCTCCATCATGGCGGGGATTTAGCTGAGAGGCCCAGGTTTCTAAAGTTTAGGAATAAGTCTTTGGGGCATTGTTTTGGCTCAGAATTCATTCTCTCGTTTTCCCAAGAGCAGACTCCCTCTGTGATGGCCAGATAAAAACCACACACTCCATTAATCCTGGGCATAATTTATTTTTTGCATAGGCATAAATTAGAATCGGGAGATAAAAAATTAGGAACCAATAGTGCAGCATTTGTGACAGGAGAGCGCAAAACAAAACCTGGTCGTCTGGGGGCAGGTGCTGTGCAGGAGCCAGTACTGGAGGACCACAGGTGGTTGGGGCCTCGCCTGCACTCTAGCTCCATCCTCGGGAGCCCATTCAGGGCCCAGCCCTGCTCTTGCTCCTAAGGGCACCTGCCTGCACAGCGGCCCCTTCTGCCCCCTTCCCACAGGCTGGAACCAGCCACACGGCTAGAACCAGTGCCCCAAGCCCCTGTGGCAGCCAGGTTACAAGGTACTGAAATCACCCAGTGCCCCACAGAACGGGGCTAGGAATCAAGCCTTTAGCTTTTCAGTTAAAAAAAGACCTTGAAAAATATATACATAATACAGCAGGGCCTGCTGGGTCTAAAAGCTCCCCCTTAGGCCTCCTCCCTACCCAGCCTCCTCCCCCAACCCCCCTCCCCTGACTGCCCCCCATAGAAAATGAGCTAGAAAGGAAACAGAATGGAGCAAGAGCTGAAAGAGCCCCAGGGGGATGGCTGAGGGTTAGGGCCCCTTACATCAGGGGCCTGATTGGGAGGGGGGTTGGGGCAGGGCCCACAGTGCAGACAGACCTCCTCCCACCACGACACCCTGAACATCACTATCATCACTGTCACTGGACCATGAGAGCCCAAGCCCTCCCCTACTCCCCACCCTTTTAGCTGACCCCCAATGCTTATGGCCTCAGACAGGTCTGGGCTCCCTGTACCCCAGGGGAGGGCACACTTGCTCTGGGGCATAGGCAGGCCCTAGCAGGAACGGGGAGCAGAGTGGGCCCCAGTCCCATCATCAGGAGAGAGAGAAAGCAACTACTAGCCCCAGCAGAGGGCAATCCTACAGCCCTGGCCCCTGGGACCCTCAGAGCCACACAGATAGCAGCCCTCACAAGCTCACAGGAGCCAGACCGTCTAGGGTACAAGAAGCCCCACAGCCCACCTTGACCTAGGACAAATACAGTGTATAGAAGCCTTTCAGGGACCCTGTGGGCCAAGCTCGCCTAGGTTGATGGCACTAGCTTTCTGGAAGAGCCCAGCTGCCCTCTCCCAGGAGCTTCCTGCCTGGAGTCCCAGTCCCAGTCTCAACCTGCACCGTGAGCACCCTCCTCCCAGAGGGCCTCACTTTCCTGCCTGGGGAGGGGGCAGCTCACCTGTCCCAGGCCCTAGCTTGTCCTACCCATGGCTTTGGCACATGCTTCATTCGCACACCTCCCAACGGCAGCTCCCTAGGTGCCAGCCCCTCCACCATGGGACATGTTCATTCATCACCTGTCCCCCTGCCTCTCAATCCCCCATGATATGCTACATATATACACCCTTCCAGGAGGAGGAAGGAGACCCCGATGCCTGGCATGAGGGGAACAAAGAATGAAAAGAGACACTGGAGCCTGCTGTCCACCTCGAGCCACCCTGCTGCTAGGAAAGCCTGCATGTTCCTTCTCATCCCCATTGGGCCAGGCACTCTGCTTGCTCCTGGAAGTCAGTGCGCTGATCAAGCATGTAGGGGGTGGCAGGGCTGCTGCTCACCCGCTCCCAGAGAAGGCGGCGCATGCGGAGAGGAGCTGGCCTCCCAGCCGGCTGGCAGCGGCACAAAGAAGGCCTAGTGGGCGGGCTCCCCATGTACCCTGAAGCGGTAGACGCAGGTGTACTCGGGGTGGCCCCAGTTAGTCAGGATCCGCAGCTCCACCACCTGGTACGTGGCCATTTTAGGATCCTGGGTAGAGAAGGAACAGGTTCAGAGTGTCAGAGTCCTCAAACCTCAATGACAACAGGCAGGAGGGGAGACAGCCACCCCTAGGGCCCAACACCCCTCCCCTAGGCCTCTGCAGAGGACTAGACTTCAAAGCTCCTGTCTTCAGACCCTGGAGCAGTTTCCTGCCCGTGGGCCAAGAAGCCCCAGGGGCTTCAGATATCCTACAGGGGCCACAGACCCACAGCCACGTAAAAATGGCTTTGTAGCTGAGCACCAGCGCGGTCCACCCCAAACTGGGACAAATTCACAAGAGCTCTTTGTCATTACTGTCAGTGGAGGAACTGCCTTCATGGAGGGTTTGATAAATGTTGATATTGGAAAATAATCCCTTTACTGAATTAAGCAGAATTTCTTCTTTTCTTTCTCAAGTTCCTATCAGGTCTCTGTCCTCTATGCTCAAAAAGCCACAATTTTGGAGCCAGCTTTTGGAGCAAATCTCACCCCGTTTGATGGCACAGGCACAGTGCTCTCCTGCTCTTCCTCTCTCCCTCCCGCCTTCCTATACAGCTTCTTGTGCTCCACCCTCTCCTAAAGGCTCGATCTATACACCCTGAGAACTCTCAACGCCTCCCATGGCTCAGTTATCCCCTGGGAGCTGACAGCTCAGCCTTTATGTCTAGTCCCCCTGACTGTCCCACAGGTAGCCGAACCTGCCCCCGCCTTTGCATTAGCCTCTCTGTCCTCACCTCCCCTCCCTGCCCCCGCCTCTGCATTAGCTTCTCTGTCCTCAACTCCACCTCCCTGGCCCCGCCCTTGCATTAGCCTCTTTCCTCCCCTCCCATCCCCACCCCCACCTCTGCATTAGCCTCTCTGTCTTCACCTCCACCTCCCTGCTCCTGTCCCACCAGACATTCAGGGCACTCCCAACTGCATATCCCACTGCCTCTCCCCATCCTCTCTCCCAGCACCCTCTCTCTCTGGACTTGCTTCCTGGCAGCCACTTCCTGCTCGGTCTCCGGGCTTGTCCCCCTTAGATTCGCCAATTATACGCAGTCACGGTCATCTTACTAGGATGCACATCATTTTGTCACTTCTCTGACAAAAGCCTGGCAATGGCCACTCCCACCACCCCACTGAGCCCTGAGGGCTGAAATTCTTTGGCCTGGTAGTCAGGCCTGCCTTTCTGGCCTCTCTTCCTGTCACTGTCCCTTCGCCACCCCTCACATCCCCACCTCACCAGATTCCTCACACTAGGTGTACTCTAATTCCTCAGCCCTGGTGTAGCTCTCAGGCCACCTGCATTGGATTCATCTAGGCTGTTTGTCAGAATGCAGGTTTCTGGGCCCCATCAGCCCTAAGGAATGGGTCTCCTGGGATGGAGACTGGGAATCTGCATTTCTACCAAGGGCCTAGGAGACTGATACCCACTCAAGTTGAGGCACGAGGCCTCCCTCAGTGCCCTAGGCATGCTGCACTGCCCGAGGCCCAGCTGGGCCACACTCACTCAGGCACCTGTCCTTTCTGGGCAGGCTTCCCCAACGCTCCCCATCTGGAAGGGGCCCCTCCCCTCCGCTGATGTCTGCTTGGCACCTCTCCCATGCCACTTGGACAGCTGTCTCATTCTACACCTTGATCTGTGGGAGGGCAGGGCCTGAGGGCAGGGGCTGTGGTTTCTTGCTCTGAACCCGCAGTGCCTGGCACAGGGTACCTGCTCGGAAAAATGTCTGCTGAATGGATGGGAAAGTGAGTGTGCCACGTCTACTGGCATAACAGAATCCTGTACCTGAAAATAAAATGTCTGAATGGGCTCCCCATCCTGGTCGTAGGTGAACTGGCCAAGGAGTGTCCCCTCCTGCTTCAGGTCTTCATCAAACCCCTGAAGAGAGTGAAGGATAAAGGGAAGATCCTGCTCTTAGGCGCCGGGCCACCTAGGGAAGAAGGCTTCCCTCCCCACTCCACACTGGTCCCCTCCCAACCTGGTGGGACTGCAGAGGGCTGCACACTGGACACAGGGCTGCCATGTGCTCTGTGACAAGTCACTTAACTCCCTGGGCCTCAGTTTCTTCCTCCACAGCCTGAGATAACTGGGACTGAAGTGCCATTTCCCACCCGGCACCATCTCTTCCAAATCCACAAACGATCCCAATTTTATCCTCAGTGGAGACCCGCAGGGTCCTCCTACAGCCCCTCTGGCCCCACACCGGCGGAATACTCACAAAGATGGCAAAGTCCTTGGGGGCACTGGAGATGGTGCTGTTGGGTGACAAGGACTTGGGCACATGCTCTAAGGTGACAGCAGTGGGGCGGATGCGAGCAGACAGGCGAACCACAGCAAAGCCCTGGGGCCCCTGGAAGGCCCAGCAGTTGCCTGGGTGCACGTCTGGCTGGAGGGGAAGAAAGTCAGGTCAGCGCAGGGCTGGTGACAGGCAGTCTGCCCTGAGTGCAGCTCCCGCTGACCCAGCCACACAGGCGACCTCCGTGTGCTCAGGTCCTGTCGTGCTGTCCTTGCTGGGTGCCTACCTGGAGAATGACTCGGGGCGACTGGGAGTGGTACCACAGGGGGATGCCAAAGAGGCTGAGGAGGGCCGTCTTGGTCTCGTAGGTCTCGGAACATCGGGTACTGATGACACTGGCCCCTGAGACGAGGAAGGAAGGTAGTGTGGGCACCTGGGGCTGGACACCAGCCGGGGAGGGAGACCCAGACCTAGACAACCAGTTCCGCTCGCCAGCCAGGGGAACCCAAGGAGGGACTGCTATTGCCCACCTCCTCACTGAGGGTGGAGGGCAGATGCCCCAGACCCCATCTGTACCCCTAACTCAGAGCACAGAGCAGCTGTAAACAGCCTCTCCCTGGCCAAGGATGGTGCTGGGTACGTCCTGACTTCTCCGAGCTGTGGCTGGCCTTGTTGAGTTCTAGGCCAGTGATTTCTGCTTCCCTAGCACCACAGCTGCCCTAGCAGATCCAGGGTCCTAGCCAGTGTGGGGACCAGGGTGGGGCCGAGGGAGGAGAGCGGCGCACACCTCCCGATTCCAGCGCGTAGTCCACCATCCCGATGCGGTCCTCGCTGTAGCGCTTCAGGGCCTGGTTTACAATGCGGTGCACCTGCTAAAACACAGGCACCCAGAGCAGTTGCGACGGGAAGCAGACTCGTCCACTCCAAAGGCCCCACTGCGGGGGCCAGGGACCCCTGGACTGACCCCTCCTGTGCTTACACCACGCTGGTGTCCGGGCACTTATGCCATGTACCCAGGTTCACCTCCACCCTCCCACACCAGCCCCAGGCAAACACCAGAGCCTCCTGCATGTCACTTAGCTCCTGGAACATTCCAGGGAGCTGGCAGTGTGGGACTGTACAGGTCTATGGTCCCCGGGGAGGAGGGCAGTGTGTGTGTGGGGGGCGCATCTGGGGGCACACGGTCCTCACCTCCTCTGTCACCCCGATCACACCCTCCTTCTGCAGCGTCAGCCCCAGGCTGGCTGCGGCCTCCCTCGCTGACTTGCCCTGCATCTCGGCCACGTGGGCGAGGATCTTGCTCTCCAGCTCCTGCAGCTGCGCTTGCACCTCCTCTCGCTGAAGGAGCCCAGCGCGGGTTCCCCCACCTCGAAGAAGGAACTGACTGACCCAGGCGGGGAACTGAGATTCCACCTAGGGACCGAAAAAAGGTCTCACTCTGGGACGCTCAGAGGGACAGTGGGAGCTGCTGTGGCAGGGGGCAGGGCAGTGCCTGGCTTGGGTACAGAGGGTAGGGAAGGAGTGCCGGCCTGCGAGGGGGAGCCACACGGAGGAAAGGGTTATGAACAACCCTCCATGTTATCGATGGAAAAACAGGAAGAACTCCTGTCAAAGAAAGCCAACATGCGCGCCAAGTCCAGAGCAGGGGGCTTGTGGGACTAACAGGCCGCAGGGGCAAGAGGATCTTTGCTGTGCAGACTCCTAGGATGGGCGGTCTCAGAGAAGAGGGTGTTCAGCAGGGGACTTGGATGGTTCCAACTCACGTCGTCCCGCACGGCCTGGATCTGCTGGGGCAGCAGGCCCACTTGGTCAGCCACCGAGCTCTGCTTCAGGGTCAAGGCTGCCAGCTCCTGCCGCAGGCCTGCCAGCTGGCCCTCCAGCCGCTCCAGCTCCTTCATGGAGCTCTCCCGGAAGGACTCCTGGGTCATCCTACTCCCAGAGAGAAGAGTAAGCCTTGCCGCTCTGGTGACGGGTAAGGCCACATCGAGAAAACAAGAGGATGCCCTAGTTGGCTCCTGATAACACGAGTGTGTGCCCGCCCACCACCCATGCATGAATGGATGCATTCTCCGAAGGCCTGCCCTCGGAGGCTGCAGAACACGGCCCCAGTGCCGAAGAACCAGCTTGCCTATCCCCCAGGGGCTAATTCTTATCCTGTTCCCTAAGCCCACATCCATGATTCACTCTGCCTCAGCCTCTCACCTCCTCCACACATACGGACGTCTGAGGCATGAGGTTGTACAGAAGAGATGGTGCCTATAAATGAGCCCATGAACCTCAATGCTCCTGCGGTGCCCCTCTAACTCCCACCACACCTCAAGGACAGGCTCTAGGCAGGTGGTCTTGAGCTAGATTTCAGCCATCCCGCTCTCTGCTTGGAGTACAACCAGAACTCTGCTCTAGGGCTCTGCTCCCCAGTCCTGCCTAGGGTGGGGGTGGGGCTGGGGGGTGAGGGGCAGGCCTAGGCCAGATGGCAGCACCCATACCTTTGCCATTCAGACTTCAGTTGCTGGAGTCGAGCCTCAGACTCCTGTAAGCAGGGAGAAGGGACAAATACAAGAAATGTCAGACTCGGAGCCAGAGGTCTCCCAGAGCAGGATCTGTTCCCTTTGGGGTCTTTGCTGAACCACATGCCCACCCCAGGGTCTCCCAACAGCTCCAGCAAACGTCAACCTGGCCTCCTGGTGAGGCCTCATGAGAGTCTCGCCCTGTATCTGGCAGCTTTAGGCATTTACACGTTCACTCCTTCATTTGGCATGTCACAGCCAGATAACAGGCTGCTTGAAAGCAGCCCTTCCTGTCCTCCAGCATGCTCCCAGTGGTCCCTACAGAGCCTTCTAGCCCGGGTGAGCTCGCTTCAAGCAGAAGTCAGGAGACGGTACACCCCTTCTCTCTACTCTACGTCTAAGCAGGCCCTTTGAGAGGGCCAAGGGGTCCAAAATCTCTCTCAGCCCAGGAACACTGCTGAACTGGATCCGGGCCCCAGTGTGGGCCTCGAGTGCCCCCAAGCCCCCTGACCTGGGAGGCCTGGACAATCTTCTTGAAGAGGTCTTCTGAGTCTTGCTGGTGTTCTGCTCTCACGGCGACCAGTTCTTCCTGTCGGGCATGAAGGAGAGAGGCTGAGGATTCCACCCAGTGCTAAGAGGGCCCCTTACAGCCAGTAAGTGGCGTAACTGGAATTGGAGCCAGGCCTGTTTGACTGCAAACTTCGGCTCCCGGCCTCTCTGCTACAGAGCTTGTTGGAAACAGGTGAGACTCCTCTGGACCTTTATCGCACGCCCACGTGGTGTCAGGCACTGTCCCAGGCACTTCACCATCTCATGTTTTCACAATCCGGGGCGGGGGCCAACAGGAGTCTCCATTTTACAGAGGGGGAAACTGAAGCTTAGAGAAAGCAAGTAACTGCCAAATGGCAGAGCTGTCTGACTCCAAATGACACACTGCTGTCTCTCTCACGTCAGGGTGTACAGGGCCTCGCCCCCTCCAGCCCACGTGCCCGCAGCGTGGCCCACACGTGACTCTCAGCTTCCGCCCTGAGACGGCAGCTCCTCTCCCCACCTGGATCCGAGCAGCAGTGTCCTTGCGGAAGTCCTCCTTCAGGGCAGCCTCGTGGCGGCTCACCAGCCCCTCCAGGAGCGCCAGGGTGTCCTCGTGGCTCAGGCTGCTGCCGCCTCCCTCCCCAGAGGCCCCTTGCCGCAGCTCCAAGCGTTCCAGCCGCATGGCCTCCTTCTGCCAGTTGGAGGAAAACTCGGCAGCAAGAGCTTCCAGGCGCCGCTCCAGAGAGTGTACCCGGGACAGAATGCGCTGCTCAGCCTGGCAGGGCAGGGAGGGAAAAGCCACAGAGGTGAGCGGTCTGCGGCAACAGTGCTTCCTGAAGACGGGCTGCAGGGAAAGCGACGAGAACCCCAGATACACCCAAATGTAGACACATGCTGGCTCTGAGGCTCTCAGGACAGCCTCTCTGCCCCGGAGGTAGGCGAGTTCCTCAGCAGGTAGACGAGGTGCCGGGACATACAGGGGGCTGGAGGAAGGGTCTGACCCCAAAACCAGAGTGGGAGTGGGCCGAGTGAGAGGGGACACAACGTCCTCCTGGAAGAGGGTCCAAATGGAGGGACAGTCCAAGAAGATGACCTGCTGGGCTGAGCCCACACCCTTTTCTCTCCTACACATGCACATGTGCAGGCGAGCGAGGAGCTGAGAGGTTCGGCTGCTAATGTTCAACAGTGTCCCCTTCTTCCACAGATAACTACGGCTACAAGACAAAATAATTTGCAAAGACTTTTTCCTCTTTAACTGGATGCCCCACAGAGAAGACAGAAAAGTCATTTGGACTTGAGGGTTGCATTTGAAAACATACCATGAATTTTGAGAACCCTGTTGGCTTAGCAACAAAAATCTTTGCCAGGAGAAATTATAAAACAGTTTGTCAACTGTTGATTAAAGGGCAGGGGCCTACCAAGTGCAGAAGCTGCTCCTGGTTTTTAAAAATTCAGTTTTTAAAGTTGGCAGTACATTTGCATGACCCAAAAAGCAAACAAAGAAACAGCAAAAGTCATGCTCCTGACCTCTGACCCCACTGGCCCAGGGCCCTCCCTACCACCTCCTCCCAACCAGGCAACTATTTCTACCAGTGTCTCTATACAAATGTAAGCAAACACAAAGATATAGTCATTCTTTACTTCCCCCATTTGACAGAAAAGGTGGTCCTGAAATTGAATTGTATTTAATGTCTTTAATAATGATTAAAAAAGGAAAAGTTATAGATGCCAGAAGGTATTATTTATACCTATAATAAGATCATGGTCAGGAAAGTAATATCCATCAAAATAAATGGTTTAAAATGTGATACCAAATTAAATTCAGCAGGAGCTAGCAAAGTTCAAAAAACTGTAATTAGGAGACAGAGTTTTATATTTTTATTATTGACCCCAGGACCTGCGTGCACACATTCTGGTTATTTGTACACTTGTGCCTGCAGGCTCCTTGAAGGCACAGCCGGCCTGATCCATCTTTAGCCTCTAGCAGATTGCAAAAATGGCCACCGTCCTTCCCTCCTCCCTGTATCTGCACCCCTGCAATGTGGCCCTGCAGGTGCTCCCACTGAGAGGCGGAGTCTAATTCCCCCTCCTTGAGCCTGGACTGGCTCTGCGATTTGCTTCAGCCAATAGAATGTGGCGAAAGTGACAGTGTGCTAGTTCCGAAGAGGCCTCAAGTGCTGGCCTGAATCCACTCTCCTGGAACCTTGCCTGGCAGCTGTGAGAACAAGCCCAGGCTAGCCTGCTGGACGACGAAAGGACATGTGGAGTACGGCCCACCCAGGCACGGCCGAGACCAGCCTGCCCCCCTGCTGATCCACCAGCTGAGACACACAGGGAGCCCAGCCAACATCAGCCGTCCTTGCTCAGACCAGAGAGCCACCCAGAGGACCCCCAGCCTCATGAGCTATCAGAGGCTTGTAGTTTTAAGACCCTTATTTTAGGGGTAGTTTATTTGTGGTAACAGGTAACTGACCAGGATATTACATTACTCATAGAAGGTGCTCAATATATATTTGTGAAATTATATTGAAAAGGAACAAAGTAGACAAGACAATGTATCTGATGCCTCTTCCTTGTTTTATGTGCTTCTTAAGATGGTAACTAACTTTGGGACAGCTTTGAGTCATATTTAAGTGCAGGCAAACCACCTCCCCAAGACCTGCACCCCCAACAGTAGAGAAAGGGGTATCCTGGGAGATGAGGTGGCATCCCAGCTGGGAGAGCATCTCTCCAGCTTTGCGGGTAGGTTAAGGACAGGGAGATCAACCTCAAATACAGGCTGAGGGAGGACGGCGACCCTAAGACACTCACCTGGAACTGTGGGGACGAGTCTCTGGACTCCCACACTTCATACTGCCTGCTGCTGCCCTTCGCTGCCCACCAGGAAACCATGGCAGGGTGGAATGTCCGCAGCCAGTAGGGGTAGAAATACCAAGCACCTGTACACAGGGGAGAGGCGGTTACCCGGGCCGGGGGCCGTGACAAGAAGGTATACACCGGTGAGGAAGGCAGCCTCACCAACGTCGGTTATCAGTAGCCTGTCTCCTTCACGGGAGCTGTGCTCTTGCCAGAAGGCAGTACAGGGATGCAGGTTCTCATCATGCTCTGAGGCAGCAACCTGACAATCCCAGAGCAGATGCATTCTCACATCTCCTTAGGAATCCTCATCCTTCTGTAGACAGCAAACCTTAGAGAAAACAGCTTTAATAAGCTAGGGATAATCGAGGGGTAGAACCCAGAGGCCCTGATGGTGGTTCTTGGCCGAGGCTGTACATCAGAATCACCCAGGGAGCTTTTAAAACACTGGATGTCTGGCCCCGCCCTCCAGAGAGTGAGTCCATTGGTCTGATGGGCCCTTTGTAGGTGAGGAAGATTAGCCCTGGGCTAACACCCATGCCCATCTTCCTCTCTACTTTATATGGGACGCCGCCACAGCATTGCTTGACAAGTGGTGCGCTGGTCTGTGCCTGGGATCCGAGCCTTCGAACCCGGAGCCACCGAAGCGGAGTGTGCAAACTTAACCACTGTGCCACCAGGCGGGCCCCTGTAGGTGAGTTTTAAAAGCTCCCCAGGCGACTCTAATGGGCTGCCATGGTTGAGAATCACTGACAAGAATACACCCTCTAAGAGAGGCTGCTTGTGGCCCCAGAACAGAGCACAAGGCTGCAGCCACACAGACACTTGCGTCTTGCTTTAGGGGCTCTCTGTTTGTGATGTGTTTACTCCTGAGCTGTGCATGTGCGTGTGTATACATGTGTGCATGTACCTGTGTGTGTCGGGGTGAGGGCACCAGAAGAAGCCATACTGGCTGAGGGCATCTCCATCCCGGTAAGACTCTACACTTGCCACTCAATCATCGCTGAGAGCAGGTGCAACGGGAAGCACATGACCACCAGGCTTTAAGTCAGACCCTCTGGACACGCCTCACTTACTGCACTCCCTCAGCAGGTCCTGCCCCGCTCTGCCTTCCAGACCCTCCCTATGCATCTCCTCTTGATGCGATCATGACATCAGCCCCAACAACCCCACAGGGCGATGGTGAAGCTCAAATTAAACTGAGATAACACATGGGAACGTGCTTCCTGAACAGAACGCTATACAATTATGGAGGGTATTATTTAAGGGCGATGCCCAGTTTCCACTGGATATGAACAAGCTGTTCTTGTAACAGGAAACAAAAAGGAAATCAACACTTGGAAAAATGTTCTACTTTGGTATTAATTAAAGAAATACACGTTTGAGTAGATGCTAAACCTATAAAATCAACCTTCTAAAAATAAATAAATAAAGCATGGTCTTTAATTATAAATTGGTACAATCGTTAAAATTGAGCCTGGGGGCCATAGAGATAGCTCAGGTGGAATTGGGAAACTCACACACAATTGTCAAATGAAAAGTTGAACACAAAACGTACGTATAAACATAATGATTACAACCGTGTAAAAAATGTGAAGTCCAATGATCGAGATTGGAACAATGTAGAGCATCTTGTAAATGCAGGTATCTTAGAGTAAAAAAGGCATACTTACTTCTCTTTACTACTTTGTTGTTTTGATCTTAAAGACAGCTAAAGATTGAACTTGATGTTGTAACAATAATTCACTCACCCAGACGACGTCCTGATTTGAAATGGAGGGAAATAACTGCTACTAATAACGGCATCAGCGTGCCTACTTTTTACCCCAATACTCCTGTACTGGGGCACGTCCGGCCCAGGGGGCTCCAAGGATGCTCTAGACATGCCGTGCAGCACAGTGTAGCTACCCAGCTGAGCACAAGATCAGTGGATCGGGGCCTCTTCCCTCTGACCCACTGGACACCCTGAGAATGCCACAGCGTCGGTCAGCAGATGACCCAGGGCCCCCAGACAGGAGTGGCCTCGGGCTCAGTGCTTGGGAGCTGCCCAGGCTCAGTCCCACCCTACTCGTCCTGCCTCCTACCCTTTCCTGCAGGCGATCACTGTCCCTCTGGTTTTCACATTTCTGCTCAGCGCCAGCCTCCGCCCATGCTCTGCCCCGCCCTCCGCTCAGCAGCCCCGGCTCAGCATGGCACGCCCGTCCTACCCTCCTGCGATGGCAGGCAAGCTCACCGTAGGTCAGGCCAGTCAGGAGCAGCAGTAGCAAGAGGAACCACAGGAAGGTCTTCAGGGACGAGACGCGCCTGGACCGCATGGGACGGGAGAGCAGGGGAGGTGAGGCGTCAAGAGGGCTCCAAGGGCCCCCATGTCCCCTCAGGGAGCCCCTTGAGACCTTTCCTGAGGGCTAAACTAGAGCTGAAAGGGGGACGCCCCGACCGTCTCATCCTGCCAGGGCAGACTGGACGCTTTACAGTTCCGTGGGTCCTGGAGTAACAGAGGCAATTCTGACTCTGAATTTTATTGATGTTATAAATATATACACAATGTATGTGTATATATATATATTTGATGTTATATATAAAATAGTGGGGTCTTTGAAAAGTCTAAAATTTTCATGTATAGAGGTCCTCTGAGCAAGCAAATATAGAAAAAGATATGGAACTCCTTAAAGAAACAATATTTTCTTTTAGAAAAACGAGGAACCTTTTTTTGGTGACACGAATCCGTCCTTGCCCCTCTCCTCAGCATAGCTGGCCACCCACCCCAACCAAGACTATGGCCAGAGGAACCCTGACTTCCTGGCTCAGTCTGCTTCCTCTATGAAGGGGCCAGTTCCCATTCCTGGCACTGCCGGGTCAAGGACTGGGGACAAACCCAACCATCCTCAGGCAGCGCCTATTCATGGCTTCTGAACACCAGGCGGAACACACTGGGGTCTGGATTGCCGCAGGCCCAGACGGAAGCTGAACTTTCTGGGAAACACCACTTGCTGGCCAGAGTCTAAGGCCTGAGCAGCGGGAGTAAGGCCCAGGCTTGTCTGAGACTCAAAAGGGGCAGGTCTGGCATTTAGCAGGAAGCATCCAAGAAGAAATCAGAACCTGTGTTCCAGAATATTCTGAAGGGCTATCGATTTGGGGAGTAAAACCTGAGTCTGGGTCCCAGCCTCCATCAGCAGAGGGGCTCTGGGGCATCCACTCCACGCTCACTCATAAAAGCTGCAAATCAACTGGAAGGAAACCCTTGGAGAAGCGATCAGACGCAGGTTTAGATGCTTTACGCCCTTCTGTCCGGGGCTTTCTGATTCATTGTCAAGGCAGGAAGCCCGCTGACCTGGTTAAAACAAAGACGTCCAGGAGGGAGGCGGCCGTTGTCAGGCGGTACCAGGTGGTGCCGATCCACCAGTAGAGGAGTCCAAAGAGCCGGCCTAGAAGAAGGACCATCAAGCTTAAGTGTCACCCTGAGCATCAGCCTCTCTCTCTCTTCACCTGCGGTCCTCCCTGCCCCTGTGACTCCTCACCGGCCAGTGCCCCTATGTCCTATCCTACAGCCACCCAGTTCCTCTAATCCCACTGCCCGCTCTGTCAACACCTTCTGTCCAGCTCTGCAGCTGCTCCTGCCCTTCCCAGCGAGGCTGTTCCCATGGCTCTTGGCTCCCAGTGATTATTCTAGAACCAGCTTTCCCCAGTGGTCCTACAGTCTTGCTGTACGGGCTAGATGCCCTGCCACAGAGAGACGGGTAAGAAGTGACTGCTGTAGAGAAAGAGAATAATCGTGCACAGAACAGCCAGCACCCACCTGGAGAAGTGACCACCATCCAGAGAAAAGAGCCTGCCTGGGACACAGCGTTCCTTAACCGTGAACCTGAGCTCTGCTGGTCCGTCTCTGAGTATCCTGCAGGGAAAGAGAGGAAACCAGCTCAGTGTGTCTTCACTTTTAAGAGCCTTGGGTATGGAGACTGCCTATTCCTTGATTGTCTTCTCCTATGGACCGAGAGCTGAGGCCACGTGTCATTCTCCTTCGCACTCCCACAGCGGCATGCAGGCCTGGCCCCGGGAGGTCAGTACACGCCTGCTTGAGGAATGAAATGGTAGGTTTCTGACATTTCATTTCCCCTGAGCCCCTTGTCTGCACCCCCTCCTCACCAGCAACCCCTCAACCACTGTTCAGAACTGGACAAAGGGATCAAGCACCTCCTATGTGTGAAGCCCCAAGTTAAAACATTTGCTGGGAACGAGCCAAACAACAGCGTTGACCTCAGGCTGCTCAAAGACTAGTGGGGACAGGGCAATCACAGCCCAGTGTGTGGAGGGCCACCCCAGGCCTGGGCTCTGGTGCCATGGTGCACAGGAAGCATGCCCAGCCAGTCTGCAGAGCGCCAGCCAGATGCCATGCTCTTGGGCTGTCAGGGGTCGCCTTCCCCAGGCTTCCCGCCCCCTCCCGAGCAGTCTGGAATTTGCTGGAGCGTCTCCCTGAGGAGACCTCGCCTACCTGCGTAGTCATCCTCAGAAGAGTAGCCGGAGGAGGACCCGAGGAAGTCCTCCGAGACCTTGTTCTCGGCCAGCCCATTGATTTTGCTGCTCTCGGTGCCACCTGTGCCTCTCCTCCTCCTCACCCGCAGGTCCTCACCTGGGGAGGGAAGAACTCGGGGTTCTCCTGCGGCAGAGATGCTCCGAGGAGGGTGTTCCAGAGGAGCATCTCCAACGGACAGATGGAATCTGCCCTTAGCCTCTCATCATCTAAAGGGACCTGGGAGTTCAGACACTCGGATGCTCTTCTAAGGATTTCCAAAGATGGGGAGCCCCTCCTCTGGCCCAGCAGTGGTTAGGAAACCACTTGGTGGGGAGGATTTTGGATCCTAAGTTACCAGAGGAAGCAAAGGAAGCAAAGCCCCAGGAGAAAGGTTTTCACACTCACTCCAGTAGGGGTCACTGTGCAGCTGGTCATCGAGGATGGAGCTCCTGGCGAGGGCGGCGGCCCGGGGGCTGCCAATGTAGGACTCCCTGACCACCGACTCACTGTAGTAGGAGGTGTGCCCATCGGAGGAGGGGCCCAGCTGTGGCACCGGGGAGAGGTGCTTCATGTTGCTGGATTTCCTCTTCAAGGTCCTGTAGGAGGTCAGCCAGGAGGGGGGAGACGGGAACAGTCAGGTGAGCCCAGTCAGGAATCTGGAAGCCAACGCCTGTGCCCCACTGTATTGAGTGGGCTGGCCTTGTTGCTAGGCAACTAACAGCTCCCAGCTACCCACTGTCTACCAAGCACAGGTAATTTCTCTGCTCCCATCATCTCTAAATCTCACAAGCAGTTAGGCGAGCGCCTCAGTAAGTGATGGAGCCGGGATTCAAATCCAGGTCTCCAACTTCAAAGCTAAAGTTTCTTCTCATGCTTCTTAATGGATTAGTAATTTCTACAACCCACTGAAAACACAGACAAACCTGACCTGGCCTCCTAGAGCTAGCCAAAGCGTGAGGGGGTTGGGGGGCTGACATCCAGGCCTCATGTCTGCAAGGGGAGCAGGACAACGAGGTGGCTGCCAGCCTTAGCTCATCCCCACTGCCCCTCAGACTTGCTCCCCTCCTCAGCCTCTTCACTGGCCCTGCTGAGGCCCTACAGACGGTGTGACACGTGGGGGTGGGTCTGGGAGGATGGTCAGATTGGCACGCCCATCCATAGCGGAAGGGGTTCCTGTGAGCCCAGCTTGCAGTTTCGGGGTTTCCGGCCTGGCTTATTCTTGAAGCTGCCTCTCCCCACTTCCTGTTCTCTGAACATGAGGGCAGTAGCCTGGCTCATAACAGGGAGAGGAGAGACGGCACTGGGCCCTGGCAGCCCCATAGGTGTGAATGTCCCCCTGGACCAGACATGTTTATCCGATCTCTGCACACAAAGGTCACAACAGGAAGAGGCTGCACAGTGACCTGCCCGAGCCATCTGCTCTGCGGGGCAGCGCGATCCACAGGGGTGGTGGCGACCCCCTACCTGAGAGGACTGTCTTTAAACAGGGTGCTCTGGCTCCCCGTCACGGAGCTCCCTCCACTGCTGCTGCTGCCGTCATCGTCACCCTGGGAGAAGCGCGTGAGGCGTTGGCTTCGTCGAGACATGACGAGGTGGGATGGGGACCCTTCCCCTGAAGAGAGTCTTGGGAGAGAAAGGGGGACACATGAGGTATGGGGCTGTTCTCAGCTCCTCCCTGGGGGCAGAGGAACAAGGCACCACCTCCCAGTGAACAGACCACTTCCTGTGCCTCCAACCCAAACAGCCTGAGGCGTGGGGAGATGGGGCATTCATGAAGCATCTCCCAGCACCACCCATCCTGCTGCAGCCCATGCCCCAGGGCGCAGGTAGTACTCAGGGAGCCTCTTTCATGGTGCTTTCCACAAGGTTTTCTACTTAGTTTACCTGTCACTGAACTCCATGAGAGCCAGAATAGGACCTTCCGCAACCTTTAACACGTAGCAGACCACGTGGCACATGATAGGCACGCAACAGATACTAAATGAAGACCTTTGATCATTGCTGCCCTGCACAGACCCTCCCATCCAGCTGTCCTAGTGTGCTGCGCCCTCCCTAGAGCTGTCTGTTCTCATTCCACTGTTCCCCTTCGCTGGGACCCGCTTTCCTTTCCCCATAGCTGTATTCATTGATTCAGGGTCCCAAACTGACCCCAGAAAACCTTTCCCTGTAAACCCCACCTACATTCCGATGGGGCTTGTATGCTGTATCCCATTAGCAATTGCTGTGCTGCAACATCCGTGCAACTTGATATGATGATAAAATACTTTGTTAAATGCCTCCTAGGTACCTGGCTCCTTACACACCAGGGCCTGGGTCTTTCCACTCCACAGGAAAGTGTTCGAGTTGTTTCAGGAATGTGTTGTGTGTCCCCAACTAGAGTATTTTATAGCCTCAAATCTGCTCAGAACAGGCTGTAGACAGAGTTGTTACACAACAAATATTTGTTAAACTAACAGAACAGGTAGGTGGAGCAGCCATGTGGGACCACAGTCAGTCCCTGCTGGACGAGTCACCACATGGGGCAGGAAATCAAGGCTCTGAACTTGATAACAAGGACTCAGAGGAGGCCAAAGTGAAAAGACCCTGCAAAAGGTGCCATTCTACAACCTGAGGAGGATTCATAAACTCTTCAGCTCTAGAAACCCAAATTCAAAATCTCAGATTACCAGTGTGAGGATTCTCACCATGGTGCCTTTGCCGGCCCATATTACAAAATACTGTTCTACTGAGGCCCACTCAAGCGTCCCTAGTACATGTGACTTGTTATCACTTCTAATATTCTTGGCTGATACTTAAATTACTAGTTCTCTGGGTTGCATGGTGGGCATAGACTAACACATCCCAACTCAGACTGTGGAAACCAGAAGGTCTGGTTAGTCCAGCTGGAGAATTCTAGAAAGTCCTCTTCTGAGAAACAAGCAGCCTCATGTCTTGGTCTTATTGGTGTCCTCTCAGGGAGGATGCCCACCTGCCATCCCTCCCTGGTTTTAGCCGGCGTTGGTAAAGGGACCAATTGGTAGCAGCCAAAGCAGGAAGTTGAGAGGCCTTGTCTACGCTCCTCTCCTTATAAGGGAATTCCACCCCCACTACTGCCCCCCCACCTGAAAGCTCCAGATGCCCTCACAGGCTCCTCCTCTTAACCCTCGCCCTGCTGGAGTGGATGAAGCCTTCCCCTGGGGCAGAAACAAAGCAATGTGTTTATACGGTACTCCAGCTGCTGCAGGCAAGAACATAAATATTCAGACGGAGGGGTGTGGGGGGAGTGGCTACAAACTGTCAGCAGTCAGCACTCGCCTCCACCCCCCAGAGGTGCCTCTTGCTCTCTCCTGTAGCGTCCTGGTATCACAAAACAGTCTGCAGTTGAGTCTGGGTTTCACGAGTGGAAAAAGGTCAAGGCCCCATCCTCCAAAACAAAACAAGAGGTGAGCCTCTAGAAGCTCAAATCTTTTGCATATCAGAATAAACACCTCCCCCAACACACACAATCCGCTAAGAAACCCTCAAAACGTCCCTCCTCACTTCTGAGCTGAACCACATCCTTTTCTAAACTCCACCTTTCCCCGCCCCCCACCATAAACTTGTAGGGCAGTATCCATCCAGTCTTCAGGCTAACCTAGATCTACGGCATCTTCCAAAGGGCATTTTCACCCTACATTCCCTCGCGGGACCTGTAAAACGCTCCGGGTCCTAACTCCCTTCTCCCTTCACTCCCTACGGGCCGAACCGCAGAGTTTTACCAACCACGCGCCTTCCTGCCTCCCTGCTCTAAGTCACACTCCCGCCCCCTATTTGTTTGGCTTCTTTTTTTAAGAACTGAACAAAATGGGCCTTCCTCCTAACACCAGAGTTCTGACAGGCGGCGGCAGAAGCAGGGAACTGCCTGTCCCTGGAAACTGCCTGACTGGCACGAAAACGCAGGCACTGCCCTGGGCCGGTTTGGGGCAGCCCGGGCTTGGCTCCCCTCCACCCGGGGAGGTGCCCGGGGAAGTCCCGCCTGGAGACATCCGCCCTCCGGGCTGACCAGTGGGGCGGCCAGCCCTGGCGGCAGCGATGAGTCAGAGCGGCCGGCCTTGGCTCGGCGCTGGCCCTTCCCAAGCGGCCCAGGGGCGTGCGCCGGGCGGGGCTGGAGCCTGGCCCAGCTTGTCCCGCGGAGGAAGAACCAGGCCTGGGCAGCTGGGCCCCGGCCAGAGCGACCCGACGATGACCCCGGGGTCAGGCCGGGCCCAGGGCCCGAGGGGAGGCGGGCGAGGCCGGCCCACCACCCTCGCCCAGCGCGTCAGCCCGCCCGCGGCCCACGGCCCAC